CTCTCCTATCGCAGATACCTCCCACTACCACTCATTTCACAGTCCTGGACCTTAAGGATGCTTTCTTCACCATCCCCTACATCCAGACTCCCAGCCATTCTTTGTCTTTACTTGGAAGGATCCAGACACCCACAGGACCCAACAATTAACCTGGATGGTCCTGCCTCAGGGATTCCGTGATAGTCCCCACCTTTTCGGCCAGGCATTGGTCAAAGAGCTGTCCTCTTATGACTCTGGATATAACACTCTCCTCTAGTATATAGGTGACCTCCTCCTGTACAGCCCCTCCAGAGAGGTCTCTCTCTGAGATACGGCCTCCATCCTTAACTTTCTAGTACAGCGGGGATACAGGGTTTCCCCTTCCAAAGCTCAACTCTCTACCCCACAAGTCACCTACCTAGGGGTGGCCCTGACCCCCACCTCCAAGGCCCTCACGGTGGACCACACCACCTCCATCAGGGAACTCCTACCCCCATCTCAGGTGCTAAAATCTTGTCGTTCCTTGGGCTGGTAGGCTTCTTTAGACATTGGGTCCCCAATTTCGCTATACTTACTAAACCGCTATATGCTGCAGCTAAGAAAACTCCCACCGGCCCCCTCACTTCTCCCTCAGCTGTAGCCCATGCCTTCAAGACCTTGCGAGACATGCTCCTAGCTTCTCTGCTGCTTATGCTTCCTGACTTCCACAAGCCTTTCCTCATGTTCACCGAGGAAAGAACAGGGATGGCGACCGGGGTGGCCCAACCAGTGGGACCCTCTCACCGACCGGTCACCTTCCTGTCCAAACAGTTGGACCCCAGCGTCCAGGGATGGCAGCCTTGCCTCCGGGCGCTGGCAGCGGCGGCTTGCTTAACCAAGGAGGCTCTAAAACTTACTCTTCAACAGCCGGTTACGGTCTGCTCCCCCGACAGACTCCAGGACCTCTTGGGTCATAAGTCATTATCCTTATTAAGCCCTTCTAGGGTCCAGGAGTTCCACCTTTTATTCATAGAACATCCCCAAGAGTCTCTTTGCTCATTGCCGCTTCTAAATCCAACTACTCTCCTTCCCTCCACTGGCTCCTCAGTTTTGCCTGAACATTCCTGTGTGGAGCTGGTAGAGGCCCTTAGCCACCTTGCATGGGACTCTCTGACCAACCTCTGTCTAACCCTGATCTCACATTCTTCGTAGATGGGAGCTCAACCAGGGGTCCGGACGGAGGCCGCAGGGCAGCCTATGCAGTGGTCTCTCCTCCCACTGTGGTGGAAGCTGCCTCACTACCATGAGGGACTTCTTCCCAAAAGGCGGAGCTAGTGGCACTCACCTGAGCATTACAGCTGGCAAAGGGCCTCAGGGCCACTATATATACCAATTCTAGGTATGCTTTCCTTATCGCTCATAGTCATGCGGTGATCTGGAAAGAAAGGGGGTCCTTAACCACCCGGGGAACTCCGATGGTCAACGGTAAGGTCATTCAACATTTACTCCAGGCCCTACAAGAACCCAAGGAGGTAGCCATCGTCCACTGTCAAGGCCATCAGACGGGCACAGACCCTGTCATCCAAGGAAACGCCAGGCCGACGCCACGGCCTGCCAACTTACCTCAACCCAGGACGCCACCACTGTCCTGTTTCTTTCTCCCTCCCTAACTCCCAGGTACTCGGAGGACAAGCAACAGCGACTCCTCAGCCAGGGTGCCGTGGCTGGGCAACAGGGGTGGATGTACCTCAGAGACAGAATAATCCTTCCCCAGACACAGGCAAAGGAAATTGTGTCCACAATCCACCAGTCTTTACACATTGGTCCTGAGGCCATGCACAGGTTTCTTTCCCCAATCTTCTTGCCGCAGGGTCTCCAAGAAACCATCAACCAGGTCCATATGGCCTGTCAAACCTGTGCATATGTTTCCTCTCAAGGAGCCCGCCGGTGCCGGACGGTGGTCCACCAGCTGCGAGGGTGTCTCCCTGGACAGGACTGGCAGGTGGACTTCACTCATATGCCAAGACACAAAAAGTACCGATATCTGCTGGTAATGGTAGATACCTTTTCAGGTTGGGTTGAGGCCTTTCCCACGAGCCGGGAGACAGTCTCGGTGGTGGCTAAAACCTTGGTGGAGCACATCATCCCCCGCTTCGGCCTCCCGATGTCCATCCAGTCAGACAACGGCCCAGCATTCACTTCCAAAATCACTCAGCTGGTGGCCAAAGCCCTCAACATCGTCTGGAAACTTCACATCCCCTACCGCCCTCAGTCCTCAGGTAAGGTAGAATGGGCAAACGGCCTCCTGAAGGACCAACTAACCAAATTTTCCCGGCCTGCTCTACTCCCTGTTGCTCTCACTAGGGTGCGTGCGGCCCCCCGGGGGGCGGTCGGCCTTAGCCCGTTTAAATTGATGTATGGTAGGCCTTTTCTCATTAACACCGGCCTTCCTACAACTCCTCCGCCACTAGCTTCCTACCTGCCCTACCTCTCACTACTCAGAACCTCTTACAAGAACACGCGGACCAATCCCTGCCCCAGGCCAACTCAACATCTGACCCACGGGCAGCTGTCATTCTACAGCCAGGTGACGAGGTTCTCCTTCGACAGCTCCGACCCCAGTCCCTTCAACCTCGCTGGACGGGACCTTACACAGTAGTCCTTACAACTCCTACCACAGCTACACTGTTAGGGCACCCCTCGTGGTACCACATTTCTCGACTCAAGTGGCCCCCCCAACAATGAATTGTGGAAATCTAACGAGGTGGGACCCCTCTGGTTACAGTTTAGCCATATTGATGTTAATGAGCCTAACCAATAACCCTACGATGACATGGGGAATGGCTGATTGAACTTGCAACTGATGCGTCTCCGTAGGAAAACCCGAACTCTACCAGCTGGTTCCCCATATGTGCTATCATCAAAAATTTTCGTGCCAACTAGGGAAACCAAAATACTGGGCTGCAGTAATGTTAAGAGATTTCCAAGCGGGCTGCCCAGGCGACAGTGGCATAGTCCGCTGCTGGGAGCAAGACCCCCCACCAAATCCCCAAGGAAAGATACCCCCTTGCCGCACTAAATGTTCAACCTTCCATTCTTTTGTCCAGGCACCTTGCTACGAGCAAGGCTCGGTCTGCCTCAGACCAACCAAACAACAGGCCTGGATGGGAACGGAGCATGAAACAATGCTGGGTATTCTTGTCCTGGGCACCAGGGACAAGAGATCTGCTAGAACCTCAGACCTCCTGTGAGTAAATCAACGGGAAAGGGGCGCAGGATTATGCAGAACAGCAAAACACCAAGTGGGTCATGGAAGAACTCATTCAACATTTCAATGGACTGGTATTGGTGCACCCCAACCTCCCAAAACCCCAGGGTCCTTATCAGACAAACCCGGAACTCCTTTCTGTTCTTAACAAAACCCATTCCCTGCTTAACCTTACTAATCCCAGCTTAGCAAAGGACTACTGGTTATGCCTCAGGTCCGGCCAGGCCTGGGTCTCCCCTGTCCCAGTCACAGAAAATTGGACTCTCCCTACGCCTCCAACCCAATATTCACCTTCACCACCGCGTTCTGACATCCCTCTCCCACATGACTTGACCATGGCCCAGTGTATAACACAAAACGGCACCCTGGGGGTCAGATAGGCCTCCCTCTGCCTCTGCTCACGATCACTCGTGGTCCAATCAAATAACACCCTCTGCCCCCCACTTAACGGAACTGCCTTTCTATGCGGCACTATCATCTATCCGGTCTTGCCCCCCCGACTGGTCGGGGTCCTGCATTCTTGTCATCCTCCTCCCCACCGTTATAATAACACCCGGTAACCAAAGCCTGCCTATTCCCTTAGTCGGTTCCTCAACGTCACGGGTAAGGTGGGCAGTTGAGCTCACACCTCTGCTGATGGGGTTGGGTATTACTGCGGCCATGGGAACAAGGGTAGCAAGGCTGGGATCCTCACTTCACTTTTACAAACGGCTCTCCTCTCAACTGATCGAGGACATACAACAGGTGGCAGATATGGTCCTAGACTTACAAACACAAGTGGATTCCCTGGCTGACATAGTCCTCCAAAATCGACGGGGACTAGACCTGCTAACAGCTAAAGAAGGAGGGATATGCCTATTTCTTAGGGAGGAATGCTGCTTCTATGCCAATAAATCAGGGATAGTCAAGGACAGAATTAAACAATTACAAAAAAACCTCCAAAAACAGAGAAAAGTCCTGACCGGAGGCCCATTCTCAGGGTGGTGACAACCCCAGCTCCTAACGTGGCTTCTCCCTGTTCTGGCTCCACTGATTGTTGTATTTATACTCTTGTCAGTTACCCCGTGTGTTTTTAGGTTCCTCCAACAGCGCCTGGCAGAGCTCTCTCAAATAACGGTCAACCAACTACTGTTACATTCATACTTGCCCCTTCCGTCCAAACCACCTCTGGCCCCATATCAGCCTTAAACCCCCCCAAACACCGCCCCTCCTCAGCAGGAAGTAGCTAGAACGAGCTGGCGCCCCTATGACCAAAAGGCTGGAATGTAAGGCCAGAGGTACCGGAGGGCGGGCGGGCCTTAGCAAGATGGCTCCAACCCGGACCAGGAGAACAATGGGCGAGAGTGAGCCAGCAAAAATGAGTACCCGGAACTAAGACTCCAGTTGCAAAGCCAGCCAGTACCTGTTACAGGGACTCTAGCAACCCCGTTCAGCCAATCGCCAGCAGACGCGACAGCTGTCCCAACCAGTGATGGCTCTCCCCAATCCCCCTCACAGCTTTCTCAGTGTGCCCTTTATAAACCCATCGCCCATCTCGCTGGGTGCGACTTCTCCGGCCCACAGTCACATGGACTGGTGAACTTCACCCGGGATTGTGCTAATAAATCTTTCTTGGCTCCTTTGTTGCTGTTTTGCGTGGTCTAGTTTCGTTTACCTTACACAAACTGGTGGTGAGAAAAAAAAGAGACAGCAAGAAAGAGAGAAATTGTATGTAGGAACCTTTGAAAACTGTAAGGTATTTTATAAATGTATGTGATATTTATTACAAATGTACCTGTTTTCCCAGCTGTCGAGCACAGATTGGACAAGGTTCCGGATTAACACCTCCTGATGTTTTGTCTTGAGACTATCCAAAAAAACAAGAATTCAAAAATATATTAGTGAGTGATATTTTTACATTTAAACTTGATACATGTTTTGCATCTTATTTATAGAACTAAATGCTGGCAATTACAAATTAAATAATCTAATAATTGAGATGACCTAATAATTTATATATTACCTAATATTCCTGGGACTTACAAATAACATTTCTTCGAAATGTGAACAAAACAATGAGAACAATTTTTAATATACAGGTTGAATAACCTTAATCCAAAAATCTAAAATCTGAAATGCTCCAAAAATCTCAAACTTTTTGAGCACCATCATAATGTTTAAAGAAAATGCTCACTGGAGCATTTCAGATTAGGGATGACCAATTAATATAATGCAAATATTCCAAAATTCAAAAAAATCTGAAACCCGAAACACTTTTGGTTCCAAGCATTTCAGATAAGGAACACTCAACCTGTAGCTTAAATTGTCATATTAGTGTATTTGTGATGTCTAGTACAAGGTAAAATTAAAAGCAAATTATGACAGCTAAATTTTCAAAATTTTATTTTCAGGCTACATTTTGTTATTAAAAATTTAATTCAGAATTTTGAAACAAAGACTCCTTAAAGTGTAGGAAAACTTGTACTTATTATCCTGCACTTCTACATGCATCACAAATATGGAAAGTATTTATTTATATAATTCCTTATTACTACTGGCTTCTTCTCAGCATCTTTTTTCTAATCTCATTAAGGTAAATAACCAGGAAAACAGAAACATTATTGATTTGAGGCCTCTATATCAGGAAATTATATCAAAATACAATAGCATTTCAAAATCTCCTTAATTGCTACAAAAACTCAAAGAGCTTAAAAAAGTCACCAAGCAGACAGGTTATAAAACTGAGGAAAACAGGAAAGGAAGTAAATTAGACTACAAGATCTCTAAAGATATGTCTAAGGCTTCACTAACCAAATAGTTAAACATCAAAAAAAAATTAATCTTTGACTTATAAGTAGGAAAAAAAGCTAAATTATACATGGACTGAGGTGCTCTATGGGTTCAAAACAATTCCATTAGCTAAAATGGAAGTATGCAGAAATTTTTAAAAGTTGAAAAACTGAAGTATTCATTCCTCTGTTAATTACTGTTTTCTGCTTCAAATAATGTATAATATATCACTCCAAAATTCAGTGACTAAAAACAAACATACATTTCTCATGATTTTACAGGACACCTGGGAGACTGATTCTGGGATGGGATGGGCTGCTATGGACTGATTCTGGGATGGGCTGCTGGGCTGGGGCTGGATAATGGCTGGGGCTCATACTTAGGTGTGGCAGTTGGTCTATGGGCTTTGCTGAACTGAGGGCTCTGCTCTTCAAGAAGGTAAGCTAGGCTTCTTCACATAGTCTCAGTGATCCAAGCAACGAGATTAGGAGAACCCCAGTGTACATGGACTTTGCTTGTGTCTTTCAGGTCTTTGCTTGTGTCTGAAGGCCAAAAGCAAGTTATCTGACCAAGACCCAGAGGCCTGTTGGAGGAGATTGCTTAACAGCATGTATAAATGGAGGAGTACTATTATAGCATTTTGTAAACAATCTACCATAATTCACAATAGCTCTTCTTTTCGAATATAGAAAAGAAAGAAGTTGACACTTTTTGTAAAGGGCCAGTTTGTAAATATTTTAAGCTTTGTGGGCCATATGGTTTGTGTTGCAACTATTCAACTCTGCTACTGTAGCATAAATGCAGCCACAGACAATAGGAAATTAATGAGCATGACTGTATTCCAATAAAAGTTTAATTATAAAAACAGGTGTTGGGCTGAATTTCTCCCATGCATGGTAGTTTGCAGATCCCTGATTTAAAGTTATACATTTCCGTCTAAGTAAAGTCACATATTTTCACTTTCATTCAGTTCAGAAGATTTCTAACTACCATTGTGACTTCTTTGACCTATGGGTTACTTAGAAGTATGTTGTCAGTTTCCAAACATTTGGATATATATCTAGTTATCTTTCCATTACTGATGTCTAGTTTTTTAGTCCCTCTTCTGTCAGAAAACATACCCTGGCATAATTTTAATGCTTTGAAGATTTAAGAGATGCTTTTTGAATCAGCATGAGGTCTATTTTGTTAAATGTTTCATGTACATCTAAAACAAAATTTATATATATGTATATATACTGTAGTTGTCAGGCATAGTGATCTGTGCAATTAGGTCATGTTTGTTCACAGTGTTCAGATGTTCAATATCCTTATGAAATTTTTTGTCCATTTATCTGAGGTCTGGAAGAATCTTGTAATACTTTGTCTTTGCTTGCCTCCTGCCTTTGTGTTATTGTCATTCATTTTTGTTCTACATAAGCTGTATAACACACAACAGCACTGCTGCTTTAAACAGTCACTATCCTTTTATATTTATCTGCATATTTAAGTTTCTCTTGCTCTTCATTTCTGACTGTAGTTCTATCCTTCAATCTGGAATAACAGTTTCTTCAGTCCAAATAACTCTGTTTTATTTGTTGTGATGTAAGTATAGGTGTTTGCAGCTCTTAGTATTATTAGCGTTATTACTGCCATTATTACTACAATGACGGATTCTGTTATTCAGAAAGAGAAAGAAGGAAAACATTAAAAAGTCAGGCTCACCCAAAATGCTAGCATTAAGAATTCTTTCAGTTTTTATCTAAAAATATCTTTACTTCACTTTTTTTTTTGAGTTAGAGTGTCACTCTGTCACACAGACTGGAGTGCAGTGGCCGCTCCCGGCCACCGCAGCCTCCACCTGCTGGGCTCCGGCGATCCTTCTGCCTCAGCCTTCCAAGTAGCCTGAACTACAGGCATGCGCTACCATGCCTCGCTGATTTTTTGATTTATTGTAGAGATGAGGTCTCGCTGCCCAGGCAGGTCTCGAACCCATGGGCTCAGGCAATCCACTCACCTAAGTCTCCCAAAGGCACGGGATTACAGGCTGAGCCACCGAGCCCGGCTTTACATCACTTTTTTAAAAAAAGGACATTTCTCTAGGTGTACAACTCAAATTGGCTGCTTTTTTATTTCAGCATTTTAAAGATGCTCTTCTAATGTTAACCTGGTTATACAGAGAAGTCATGGAAACCAAGTAACAGTGGAACATCTTTAAAGGTTAAAATTAAAACATCTCTATGCAGTCGCCAGTTGTACTGGTGTTCCTTTTTAAATATTGTCTTTTTTCTTTCAACTCAAGCTGTTTTTAATTTTTTTTTAATTTTTAGTTTGCAGCAATTTGACTATGATGTGTCTAGGTGGTAATTTTACTTATTCTGCTTTGAGTTCTCTGGGCTTCTTGAATCTATAAGATATTGTCATATTGTCTTTCATCAGTTTTAGAAAATTCTCAACAATTATCTCTACAAGTTGCTCCTGTCCCATTCTCTTTTCCTTTTGCATTTCAGTTGCAAGTATGCTAGATCAAATGTGTCTTAAATTTCTTTCATCCTACCCTCCTCTTTATTTTTCTTTCTACGCTTCTTCAAATTGGATATTTTCTATCATACTGCAGATCACTAATCCTGTCTTTTTCTATGACTGCTCTCCATCTAATAAGTTTCTGATTTTGATCCTGTATTTCTACAGTTCTAAAATGTCTATGTGATTCTAACATACAAATTTCAATTCATTTTATTTATGTTGCCCAGCTTTCCTTTCTTTCACATATAGGCTAAGCATCCCAAATCTGAAAATTCAAAATCTGAAAAGTTCCAAAATTATGAAGCTTTTTGAGTGCTAACGTGATGCTCAAAGGAAAAGCTCATTGAGTACTTCAGACTTAGGATTTGGAATGCTCAATCTGCATAAAATTGTTGATACATATTGTTAATGTGCTTTCAGGAAAGCCTATATCAATTTATATTCCCATTGGTAATGCATAAAATATATCAGTTCACTATTCTTTCACCACTGGGGAGAGTTATCATATAAAAAAATCTGTGCCTACCTGTTGGCAAAAAAATGGCACCGGTGTAATTTGATTGTCCTTTATTTATAGATTAAATGATTTTTCATATATCATTTGCCAAATGGATGTTCCTAGGTAGATTATTTATATACTTAAGTTTTAATTTAAAAAAATTATTCAACATATACAGAAGACATGCCCTACAACTGACAGAACAAAATTGTGTTTTCATTTTGACTATGATATTTAAGGTATGATAACCTTACATTTTTAAAACTCATACACAGAAATGTTGACATCTTTTCTTAAATGTTATTTTCTTAATGCTAGCATTTTGGGTGAGACTGACTTTTAATGTTGTTTTTCTTCTTTTTCTCTTTCCGAATAACAGACTTGGTAATTACAGTAATAATGGCAATAATAACACTACTAATATTAATAGCTGCAAACACCTAGAAAGTGCTTAATAAGGCAGGCACTTCATGTATTTTAATTCATGAAATCCTCAAGACAGCCCTACAAGGTAGTGTTGACATTATTCTCATTTTACAGATGGGGTAAAGAAAGGTAAATAAATAAAGTCATAGATCTAGAAAATAGTGAAGTCATGATTCAAAACTGGGTTGTCTAGATTCAATGTCTATCTTCTTAACCGCCATGCTAGTTTACTTATAATGAATGTCCAACTTTTCATTTTTTCATCAATGGAATTTACTGATTCATTTGAACATATGTTAGACCAGTTTTCTGAACAAACTCTAGTCTACAGTTTGCCTTCACTTGCCTTATGCAAATATTTACTACTATATCACATTTTAATAAGGTGCTCTGCCAACTGGCAAACTATGAATTCTTGCAATAGAATGAAATCTTATTTATCAATGATCCACCAACTCATCAATGTCCAATATAATACTCTGTTCACTGCTCAGAAAATGTATTGTGAATTACATTAAATAATTGGAGTCTACCTTCATTATCATGTCTTTTGGGAGTAGCTTTCCAAACATTTCAGTTTCACATAATAAATTATAAAATATCTACATAAGCATGAAAGAATGCATGTGTATATATTATATTATGTCATTTTCACCAAGAGGTACATTTGTAACACTACTATTCAAGGCTTGAACTATAGTATGTTTATACTGTTCTTTACTATAAAGCGGTTCTTTTTATATCATCCATTAACTTATAATTTCTACAGACACAATATTCTTTTGTGATCTATGTATAGCTACTGAAGAGACATAGCTAGTGTTCTGACTTATATAAGAACTAAAAAAACCCCCCAAAAAACCCCTGCACCATTAGTTATGAAAGAAGTCACACTAACGTGGTTTATAATAGTACAGTATGAGAAAAGTAGCATCTCCTAAAAAACAATACCTTCTCCAAGTTAGTTAGGTAAAGAAGTTGCCCAAGTTTTTTCTGGAGCTGTGATGTAGCAACAGCCTTATCATTCAGCAGTTTTATACGATTTTGTTCTACCTAAAAAAAAAAAAAAAAAAAAATTAAAAACTCCTTTATTCTTTTTCAGAAAGATGATTAAATTATATTTAACATGCACTATTCTTCAATAATATAAATGTATCCTGTTTCAAGAAAACCTATTTGTTTTAAAACTCAAATATTAAAATTTCATGATATTCTAAAAATCAAAATAAATACTAGATAATATATTTCAAAATAATTTTTTTGGTTTTAAGAAGGAAAAATTTAATGTATAGTTCTTTTAAATAGAAAGCCTCCATATACCTAAAGTCAGATAAAATCAACCCAAATTCTATTTATGTACCATTTTTCAGTAATACAGTCAAAGGATGAAGAAAAACTAAATGATTTGTTTCTCTAGCCTGAGTGATTTTATGAAATCCAGAAAACAATCTCTTTGCCCTTCCTTTCTCTGCCTACCAGGACAGTATAGCAGACAAAAAGAAACACTCAAAGAAGAGGAATCTGTTTTCTTAGAAAAACTTACTAAAAATATGTATTTAAGCGAGATAGTATATAATAAATATTACTAAGTTTTTCTAGGTTACAGTCTCTAAGTTTTATATAAAGAAACAAATTTAAAGCACCAAACATACACAAGGACTAAAATAAATAATAAAGGAAATAATATTTTTAATGTAGAATAAAAATGATTGACAGAGTTAGGCTTTAATTCTGTGATATACAGAGAATTTTTAGAAGATAAGTTGTTAATATCTGTTCATCATTAGCAAAAGAAAACACTGTAGAAGAAAAGTTTTAAGTTGTTAAGGAAGATTTTTCTAATTCTGATAAAACTGAGGTAACAGAAGAAAAATATGTCTAAAAAGTGATAAGAAAAAAAACCCCAAAGATTCTGGCATATTGAAGGTGCTCAAAAACAGATGAATGTGCAATCTGAAGAGAAACAAACATGATGCACCAAAATAGCAAACACTAAGCATGTAACATAAAAGAACTTGTTCATCTTTGACCTTTTCTGAACAAAAGTAACAATTTTCCATGACTCAAACTAAGCACTTATAAAAGAGATTACTGTCTTGACTCCATCTTTTCAGGGGTCTTGGATTTTTATAACATTTGTTTGCTATCCCCTTTTATGTGATTTACTTGCAAATTACCTCATGTGGTTCAATGATATGAAGAACAGGTGGACTGGGCTTTGGTTCCTTAGGATGACGCACTCTTAGTCGTTCTGTTGCCATTGCAAGTTCATCAACAGCAGATACACGATTCCTCAGAGTCATCCAATATTCATGAAGCAACTGAAGAACAGAAAGATAAAGACAGCATTAAAGCATATAAGTAAAATTGGTTAAAACTACCAAGTTGTGACTTGATCAAAAGTCTTAAGTGAAATCTTAAGACATACATGTTTCTTCATTAAATGTGTAAGGTACAATCAATTTCTTGGGTCATTTTTAGGATGAGGAAGTGTGACTGAAAAATCTCCAGAGGAAATTGTCTCTTTAAACTCTTAGGAACAGAATATCCAATGATTTTCTGGTGGGCCAAAGATCTTTGTAGTTGGATATTAGGCTGATGGAATTTCTTCTTTATTTCAAAACATTTTTTTATTATATTTCATATCCAAAAGCTATGTACATATGGCAACAAGAATATTAAAATATAAAACCGATTACCCACCATCCAATTTAAGAAAGAACAATACTAATTCCTTGGGAAGCCTCTGTGTGTTCCTTCTCAATTGTTTCACTCTCTTTCCTCCCATATTCCTCCTTCAATGCCCAACAATGGGGTAACCACTGTTCTAAGTTGTACTTCTTCCAGACTTTTCGTTGGAGTTATGCTACATTTATGCACCCTCAATAATCTGATACTTTATGTTTCCGAAATTTATAGAAATGGCATTAATCAGTATAGACTTTTTAAAAAATGCTTTCTCCACTAACTTTATATTTTGAGGTAAATTTTGGCTAATACATACAGCAGTGGCTTATTCATTTGCTTTTCAGTGAAAAGGTCTGCAAATATTATGCAGAAAAAAATGCAGGAAGATCTTGGCGAACTATACCATCAGCACTCTAAACAAAGAGCATGTGATCAAGCTGAGCCCAAAGGAAGAATAAAAGGGCAACTGGACATTGTATATAAAACTGTCTTCTATGGCTTACTGAAATTAACTGATTTAATGTGTTTTGAATTTACAATAGTAACGTGTGAAAAAAATTATTACAAACCAATGGACAAATTACCTTATCTTCTGCACAAAAACTTTTATCCTGATTTTAAAAGCAAGAACTTTAGATTTTATAAAATATATTGAATGGAACTATGATATTATAAATAAATCCTTCCCTTTTTAATCTCATTTGAAAAGCAGGATAATGGATAACAAATCCAAATATAAAGAATAATTCAAAATTAAAGAATTTTGGAATCTCATTCAAGTATAGAGTTATAATGTGATAGAACCATTCAAATATAAACATGAAAGACCACCCACTCTGTGCTTTATTCATTGGAATGGTTTCCAGCTTTTTAGGTAGAGTGGTATCTACAATGTTTCCTAATTGTTAAGAAAATTGATCTTTGGTTGTTATTTATAGAGAAAAAACAAGACAAAAGTCTACCCTAATTTCAAAGAATAGCAGTATAAGAACAAGCTAAGAATGGTATGAAACACTTTCACAGCTAAACAAAAGGTTACATATAAGTTTCGGTTTAATGATTTTTCTTTTAGCAATTTAATACAAATGTCCTTATTTAATTATTATTATATTTGTTACTCTTTATTACAATAATTACAGTTTAGAAAAAGAGAAATTATGACACCCCAATCTCTAAGACATTTAAAAAACTGAAGCGAGAAAGAAACGTAGCAATTAACATTAATGTATAAGAGGAGAATTTTTAATATCGGAAGGAAGTTTTAAAATACTATACCTTATATTCCTTCTTCCATACTTCAAAAAGATCCATTGAAGTACTTCCTTCATCAATAAATTCAACATCAAATCTATGCAATTTTGCAAATGACAGTATTGCTTTCATAGACCGTTCTGTCTCACTTATTGCCCACAGACCCCGGTTGGTGGTGGGTGCTCGATCATCCACCAATCCGTCTTCATCTTCGATCATCTCCTCAAATATTGCAGTCTGGCCTTTGACTCTGGAAACATATCAGATCACAGTAATTACTAACAGTGCATAAGAAGCACTATAAATGAGTGATATTGAAGCAAGGTTAGTAACTTTTCAACCACAACTTTCAATGTTATATCTACAAGATCATGCATGCAAGTCTTTGAAAATGCTGGACATCATAAATTTATCCAGTGTTTTTTGAGAGCGATACGGCATAATCAAAAACATCTATAAATTTCAGGCTATAAATTGTACTGAGAATTAAAACATAACCCAATACCACCAACAATCATGCAAAAAAAACCCCAGCCACGGTATGATTTAAAAGTACACTGTTAATCCCTTTGTTTCAAGGCGATCAGAACTTAGCCTTTCCTTAATTTCCAAGTTTGTAAAACAGATAATTTTGTTCATACATGGCAATATGCACTTATTAAGTAGCTTAATCCCCAACACAAGGATGAAGATTTTGTGTTGGAAAAATGTTATTAATGAGAACTAACAGTTTATAAAACACTTACTATGTACTAAGCACCATGCTAAACAATTATGGACATTTTCTTATTTAATATTCATAAAAACTCAATTAAATAAGAGATGTTATTATTTTCATTCCATGAATGAGGACACTGAGACTTAGAGAAGTAATTTGTTTATAGAAGTGATTGTGAGTAGGAATTCAAGTTAAAGCCTATAAGACAATAGAGTCTAGGATCTTACCACTTTCCTAAATTGCCCCTCAATTAATTATCCTCAATTAATTATACATTACTACCTAACATGAACATTTAGAGGTAACTTCTACATAGGTAAAACTGAGTACATTTAAATGCCAAAGGTTTACTGAATTGATTTAATGAAAGAAAAAAAAATGTAAGAAAGACCACTTTGAGGAAAATATGCTCTTATAATCAAACACCAAGTCTTGTAAAATGTTTCATGTTCTTGAAGGATAGTAATCAAATAGAGAACTTACGTGTTAGAAAATAGTTTTGACTCATACTCTGTGAACAACTCATCAGCTTTACAAAAGACACAGCTGAAAAAGAAGAGACTATCAGAGAAATATTCACAAACATAACCATCAGTCAGTTAATTACTAAGAGAGACAGTATTTTGTACTACATTTTTTTCTGTACGACAGATATGCCATTTTGGAAAAAAAAATTTCATGTTTTCAGTACCCAATCCGAGTTTTGTTTTTTTAAAAATTAAATTAATAATACATCTCTTTTTACTTCTGTCTGAATTAAAATGAAAAAAGTTTTATTATATGAGCCATTGTTTCTGCTCTCAGAAGAAATTTAGTTTAAAGGAATGAAGTCATTTAATTGTATGATTTCTTCCATTACCCACCAGTTGAGAGGAAGTCTAGCTGGTCGGAGGTGGCAGATTGTTGCAGACTCAATAACTTCACGAGATGGAGGTCTTTCCAGGTTTTTTACAGCCTCTCTTACTAGCTTCTGGAATTTATTTAGTTCTTCCATTTGTGTTGTAAGTAAGAACTGAAGGCCTCTGCAATCACGGAACCTGATTCCCATCACCAGCATCACGCACAGCATGAAGAAAAGAATATTAGGCCAATTTCCTCAAATTCAGAAAATGAATGCTAAGCAAAGTGTTAAAGAAATTATGTGCTACATTTACCATCAACATTGAGTGAGTTTCCTTAGGGGGTATTCAATTTGTATAATAACACTGGGTTGTCTACTATAAAAGATACCAAAAGATTTGATAGTCCTGTGCTGAGGAACTGGAAAAGAATATGTAAAACCTATGTCTCTGTCTCAGTTATCTTTGAAAAATCACGATTGCCACATTCTTCTTTTTTAAGGCCGACTGATTACGAAAAATGTCCCTCCTGACATCCTTACTCTATCCTGACTACAGGATAAAATACAGACACAGAAAATTGAAAAGAAGAAAAACGGCCAAGAGTTATAGCTCCTGCTTAAAAAAAAAAAACAAAAAAAAAAAACAAAATATACATATATAAAATTATTTACATTTGCAGTTAAGTATTTACCATATGCCAGGAACTTTTCCTGTATAATTTCAAGTTACTATTGAGCTCTCATTATGGATGAAGTGTAAAACTAAAATTACAAAAGTATGTGGCAGAGTTAAGAGTTAAACCCAAATACAGTGCTCTTAACATTTTGATAAACTGAATAAAAAGGGCTAAGGAAAAAAGTATGGATGTATGTGGGTTTATGAAAGAAAAAAGAAAGTCTAGAATAATAAGAAACTAGAAGTTAGAAAATATAGAGATGTGCTTGCTTGTAAGTTAAGAACATATACTTTTCCTTCCTGAAATGTCATATGCCTTCCTTTCCAAATTGTTAAAAAAGCCTGCTTTCCTTCCTGAAACCTTCACCAATATTTTCCAACAGTAATCTATATTTCCTTCTGTCCATGAAGGTTATTGAAAATATTCATTTTCGTACTTTGCTACATTTGGTTTTCATACATACTCATATTACTCAAAGTGTTCATGGGTCAAGTTTTCTCACTGAGCTAACTTTTAGAAGACAAAGATTATATCTGTTATATCTGTTTTTTAAAAAAATATGTAAGAGGCACAGAATAGTTACTTAACAATTTCTAAAAGAATGTGCATATGATACTTGAACAAAATTAGGTTAGGTATCTAATATTATTCACAAAAAGAAAAACAAGTTTTCTTAAATTTTTAACTTAGAAATTTTAGCTGTTCTTCAAAAATGTACTTCTGAATCAAAGGGAAGAAGTAATTTTGAAAAATTTCTCTCTAATGACTCATGTCTGAGCCATGTGAATATGGGCTAAAAAATATCACAGATCTGCATTTAATCAGTCTTAGTAATATTCTCTCTTGCAGGTCCTTTAAATGAAAGAAACTAATAATAGCAGGTAACTTTCATACACCACAGTATATAGTGGTGTGGGGTAAATGCAGGATATGTGCCCCGCTCCTCCTCTGCTGGTAACAGTCTTCCGACTAGGAGGATGGCTCCTGGCTAAGGTCATCTGTGTCTGGTTGAAATGCCCTTGATGATATGCATATCTATAAACTCAAGACAGTTTCTGAGAGAAAACATCTTAGTTTTTGCTTCTTGGCATGTAATGCTAGCTTCTTTACCCACCCTGGGGGTATATAATGCCTCCCCATGTCTACTACAGTGCAAGAAGCTTCAAACTGGACAGCCAATGCTAGTTCCCTCCTGCAAGTAATAATAAACCCATGTCTTTACCAACCTGTCCTCTGGGTGATTTCTTTAGAATAGGTAAACGTAATGTGAAGGTACTTCACAGATATTAATCTACTTAATTCTTACAACAGTGCAGGGAAGTTTCGTAGATGAAACTAAGGCACAGAGAGCTCAAGTAACTTTTTGAAAAACACAGAGCTCCTAAGTGATGAACACAGCAGTCTGACTAGAGACCTAAGTGTTTTTTTAATCACTAAACTACAGAGCCTTTCCCAACAATCATTAACAGACACATGAATAATTTAGGTTTTGAGATATTAATTTCACACAAAAACATACACACGTGTTAAAATAATCTCTGAATATACAGTAAATTTATCATTTACATATCAAGAGCAATAGGTCAACTTATCTCTGAAGACCTCAAAGAATGGTTTGAGTTTTGATGAGAAAAAAAGATAGAGAAAAGAAGAGCGAGCAGGTTTACAACATAAAAACTGGGCCACTGTTGCTAAGCTCTTAGGGAATGAATCGCACAGGGGAAACATCAATGCCTTATGTCAAGGATGATCTCTAAAACAACTTACTTCAAAACGATGTTTATAGTTAGTTTTAGGTGTATCCAACAGAGAAAAAAATTTAAGTAGATTTTTAAAAGGCACTAAAAAAGAATATTTTAAAATGGCTAATATGAAACAAAAGCTCTCCTTTTTAGGCTTATATCTAGTATTTTTGTTTGAAATTTACTCTTAACACAGTGTAAAACCCAGATGCTCATAGCCATAATATGTTCTGATATTTAACTCCACCTTTTAATACCAAATGACTTGAATATTTGCAGGGATCAATCATAGAGTTATTATGTTTTGTACTATTTTCTTACTTCTCTGACATAGAAAGTGTGCTAGTTTGTTGCTTGTAGTTGCTGGTTATTTCATTTCGCACTCGCTGAACAAGTTCCTCATCAATAGCGAATTCTATTGCTCTGTGGATCACATTCAGCCACCAAGGAGAATTAGAATGAATCTATAAAAGAGATAACAGTTAACCAATTAATATTTTTCTTAGTACCTATTATGCTTCCATCATTGAGAAAGGTGATGTGAAAAATTCAAAGAAAGTCGTAAACGCGAGTCTCAAAGGATTATAATAGAGGGGAGACAAATATATGTATATTCTAAACACAATGGCTAAATACCTCTTTTACATACAGAACTAAAGAGAACACCTATTTTCTGACTACTTAGTATATGTGAGAATTTACTGCATACACCTGTACAACACAGCTGTGCTAAAAAAATGCACCAAAATAAAAATTAAATATTCATCCTATGTATGTGAAAAGGCCTCAGGTCTCTTTCTCAGCATAAAAAAGTCCTCATTCTAATCTTTAAACAATTAAACTAGATCATATTTAATAAAGAATCCACAATAACACATTATATGCTAGAATACTAAATAATTAACAGGAAGAATAAAAGATAGAGCAACTGACTTAAAAATTAAAAATAAAGGTGTATTTGTGTAGCCTCCTCTCTAGACTTCGCTACTGATTTCATAAAAGAGAAATCTTAGAAATGACAAATGGCATGTATCCTAAAAGAAAAATATCTGTGGTTCTGATGTTCTAACATCTTAAAAGATTTTGAGAACATACTTCTCAGATCAAAATGAGGGTAATAGAAGTCTTTACTTTCTTCAAAGACAACTTGTTATATTCCTAGGGTAAGAGGAACTCCATTACAGTTCAAAAGAAATAAAACAGAACCTCAATAGTTGATTATGCATCTGTTCTTTCAACCAATAAACATTGCCAACAGTAAATAAGCTTGTATTGTGGGTCAGGTGCTAAAAATTCCAAGATGAACAAGAAAATGTGAGTTTCTCACCCCTCCAAAAAAACCCCAAAAAACCAAAAACAGTATGTGGACACAGGCACAGGTAAGAAGTACTGTATTTCTGGGGCAGACCTTTCTCTGAAGCTCACGTATGGTCTGTTGCACAGGCTGTAAAGCTTGCTGGGCTTCAGCAACTTCTGTATTACACTTGCTCATGTAGTGCTCTCGCAGCTGTTTGGCCTTTGTTAAACCAGAAAACAAACATAAATTTTCATTCCAGATCTGGAAAATAATCTAGTATAATGTTTCAAGAACAGTGAACAGTGTGGTCATTTTATATATTTAAAGCTACTTAACTTGATTTAAACATAAAACTCTACAAGTATACTATAAAAAACATAAAAATCATGCTAGAAATTCCTAAGATATATATACATGAAAGAGAACAAAATTTACCCATCCCACTTACAAGAGTAAAAAAAAAAATCCTACAGATTTGTTACCCTAATTTCTACTTAGTTTTTTAATTAGAAGAAACAAAAGGGGGGGGGGAATAACAGTGATATTTCACATTATGAGGTAAAGCAAAGATGCATTTAAAATTTCTTGTTTAATTTAGTTATTACAATTTCTTGGAGTTTTTGCATTTAAAAAATAATACTTGAGAATACAGTAAAACAGATGCTATAGACCGAACTGTGTTTACCCAAAATTCATATGTTGAAATTTTAACCCTCAATGTGACTATGTTTAGAAACAGAGCTCTTAAAGAATTAAGGTTAAGTAAGGTCATTTATGACTGGTGTCCTTATAAAGAGATACCAGGGATGTATGAGCACAAAGAAAAGACCATATGAGGACACAGTGCAAAAGCAGTCATCTGTAAGCCCTGGAGAGAGGCCTCAGGAGAAACCAAACATGCTGTCACCCTGATCTTGGACTTCCAGCCTTTAGAAATGTGAGAAACAAATTTCTATTGTTTAAGCCACTTAGTTTGTGGTATTCTACTATGAAAATTAAAAATTAAAACTCTTTAAACTTTTCAAAAGAATAATGATCTCATAATTAACAAACAACAGAAATATTTTGGTCCTATAAATAGAAAAACTTTATTCTTATAAATTTCCATTTGGGAACTTACGAATGTTCTTTATTTTTTTCTATCCAACTGAAATACTCAACTGGCTCTAGACACAACATTTATGGATAAAGAAAGAGGACTGGAGGGTATATAGAAAAGTGGAAGGAAAGTTGGACAGACTGCTGACCTGGAAATCCTCAAGCTTCCACTTAGTTGTGGGTTGAGCCATATGAAACTGCCAATACTTGGCTATTGTTGCCATTTCACTTCCCTCAGCTTCCATTACTTCATTTGCAAACAGAGGTGGTTGAAATACACGAATTTTGGGATCATGACTAGCTTTGAAATACTGTGGCTTCATATTTCATGAATTAGGCAAAGTGATAATGTGGCCTCCCTGGAAATACATTTATAGAGTATGAACACTCTTATTCCCTCTCAAGATGCATTTTTCTTTTTCCGGTTACAACTTCCAATTATTTTTATTGCAATTCTTGGTTTTATTATTTGGTCATTAGAACTGTCTACTAATAGATGAGGTTGTGTTCCAGAGATAGTTTCCTGTCACTGAAGCATTTAAATGAAAAGTGACTGATTATATGCCTGCACTGAAAAATGAAATTCCACTAAAAAACTTCCAACACTTAGACTGCCATTTAACATCAAGAACAGTGCAGTCAAAAGCATGGCAAAGGAAACAATCAACAGATTGAAGAGAGAACCCACAGAATGGGAGAAAATGTCTAAATCATAAAACTGATAAGTGATTAATATCTAAAATATATAAGGTTCTCAAACAACTCAATAGCAAGAGAAAATAACCCAATTAAAATATGACCAAAAACCTGAAAAGACATTTCTTAAAAGAAGACATACAAATGGTCCACAGGCATATAAAAAAGTGTTCGATATCACTATCATCAAGGAGATGCAAATTAAATCCACAATGAGCTATTACCTCACAACTGCTAGAATGGCTATTACCAAAAAAGATGAAAAGTTTTGGTAAAGATATGGAAAAAGAGAAAGAACCCTTGAACACTTCTGGTGGGGATGAAAATTAGTATAGCCATTAGGGAAGATAGTATGGAGATTACTAAAAAATTTAAAAACAGAACCACTATATGATCCAATAATCTCACTTCTGGGTATATATGCAAAGGAAATGACAGATATTGGAGTATGTGGAAAACTGGAGTATGTGGAAGAGATATCTGCACTCCCATGTTCATTTCAGCATTATTCATCATATGCCAGGACATCAATCTAAATGTAATTAACTGATGAATGAATCTACATTTGTAGATGAAGGCATCTACAGTTGACCCTTGAACAGCATGGAATTTAACTTCCTGGGTTCACTCAAAAATACACTTTCTTCTGGCTCTGCTACTGCTGAGACAGTGAGATTAGTTCCTCTTCTTTCTCCTTCTCTTCCTTAGCTTTGTGAAGACACAAAGATAAAGACCTTTATGATGATCTACTTCTGCTTAATTAGTAGTAATTATATTTTCTCTTCCTTATACTTTCCTTTTTTTGTGAGTTGGAGTCTCACTCTGTCACCCAGGCTGGAGTGCAGCGGCATACTCATGGACACTACAGAGTCAACCTGCTGGGCTCAGGCGATCTTTCCGCCTCAACTTTCCACGTAGTCGGAACTATAGATGTGCGCTACCACGTCTGCCTAATTTTTTGGTTTACTGTAGAGATGAGGTCTCCCCAAGTTGCCCAGGCTGTTCTCGAACCTGTGGGCTCAGGCAATCCCCTCACCTCGGCCTCCCAAAGTGCTGGGATTATACTTTTCTTAATAGCATTTTTTCCAGTTTAGTTATAAGAATACAGAATATGATGAACGTAATATACAAAATATGTGTTAATCAACTGTTTACATTATCAGTAAGGCTTCTAGTCAACAGTATGCTATTAGCAGTTAAGTTTTGGGGAACTCAGAAGTTATATGTGGATTTTTGACTGAACCCCTAGATCCCACATTGTTCAAGGTCAACTGTATACAGAATCGAATACTATTTGACCTTCAAAAGGAAGGAAATCCTGTCATTTACAACACATAAACCTAGAGGACATTATGCTCAGTCAAACAAGCCAGGCACAGAAAGACAAATGCTGCACTATCTCATATGTGGAATCTAAAAAAAAGTTGAACTCATAGAGGCCGAGAACAGAATGGTGGTTACCAGGAACTGAAGAGAATGGGGAGATGTTGGCCAAGGGATGTAATAATTTCGTCAGACAGGAGGAATAAGCTCATAGCTATAGTTAATGACAACATTCTACACTTGGAAATTGCTCAGAGAATAGATTTTTAAATGTTTTCACCTCAAAAACAAAGTATATATGGTAATGGATATGTAATTAGTTTCACTTAGCCACTCTACAATGTATATATATCATGTTGTACACCATAAATTTATATAAATTTTGTCAAATAAATGGTTCTCCAAAAAAAACCCCACAAAACAACCAGCACAAAGGGCTGTGCATACTTATATAATCTCATGTTTTATCTTGTTGATTCAAATAAAGGCTCCAAAACAAAAATCTCTGGGAGAATTTGAATAAGTTATCAATAATTTAGAGTGAAATGATTTATAACACCACTATTTTCAATGAGAGGCAACATTTATTGTAGAGGAACTTTTTTGAGAGCCCACCACTGAAAATTTGAGTTTATGTATGACCCTAAATAACATAGCAAAGTAGAGACAAACTTTTTGGATTTACTAAACTGCATCTTTTGTAGATCTACCATGAGATCAACAAAGTCTCCCTTTTAAAATCTGTTGTTTATTTACATCATGTGCTGTAGGCTACCAACAGTCATATCTACAACAAGCAATTACCACATAACTACAAACAGATCACCAGAGCAGCAAAATATATATGCAGTATTGCCATTGTCTGCTACTCAAAATAACCACAGCAAAGTTTGAAGTATCAGAGAAACAGAAAAACACGGTTATATATATTTAAATGTTGTATGCCCTAGGCAACATCAACTATAACAGATGGAGCACACAGTTTGAAGAAAATATTCTTTTACAGAAAGAATGAAAAAATTACCTCTTCTTCAAGTCTTCCATCTCGCAAGGTAGGCGGTATCCCTGGGTGCTTGGCTGTCAATAATTCCATCAAATTATGGGTGGCATGAAGTCTCTACAAATGCACCAAAGGCAATAATTATGACAGTCAATGCAAAGGACTCTTAAGAGAACCTATTAACATGGCGTACAGATAACTAATAACATGTTAAGATCATATCACCAAACACTTTTCATCTAAAACAATTTGGGTATTTTTTCAAAGAGAAATTTCAGTTTTATAGCAAAGATCTTAAATTATAATGATACAAATTTTCTTCAATTAAAAATATACAGTCGTATATGAGGAAGTGTCAAAAAGCCAATTAAGTCTAGCAAAGTATAAAAGTGCAGTAAAGTGACTGCACTGACTTGACTACTTTTCTCATGAAAAATGAGTCTAGAGGAGCCTAGCGATTGTATTACAATAAAAATAAAGGTAGTGAAGTACATAAGAAAACAAGGCTGTGACCTAGACATGTTCAACTTAAAGGCCGAAAGAAGAGGAGCTGGAGGTGAAGACAGTATAGGAAGAAGGAGAAAACTGTATTGTATCTCTCTGTATTATATGTAATACCTCTGCAGCTAGTTAGAGTTTCAAGGGTTAAGAGAAGAAAAAAAGTGAAAGTGATTTCTGACTGTTAACTTGACACTTTACTTAGGAAAATAGCTAAGGGCTAAAAGGATGATCAGGAAAAAGTCCTGGGAAGACCTAATTTGGTGCCAGTGACTCAAGACTTTAAAGGTTCATTCTGTTTGGCTAAATCTTGCTGGTCATGGTACAAATCTTTGTAGAGTCAATCTTGGAAGAGTTACCTTAAATGTCTTAGGTCTTTTAAACATGGCTTCATAGATAATAATAACCATTTACACTATTTAATGCATTAGATAAAAGTGTAAATAACACTAAGGAAACTTGAAGTGGTGGAAACATGTCTTCTCTATGTGCACTTGTAGAAGAGGACTTTTATTGTTTTCTGAACGTGGTGGTAAAATGGGAAGAATACTGTGAACTCTCTTCACCCCATTACTCATTTTATCCCAATAGAACAAGATGGTTAATCTGGCCAGAGCAAGACATTCAGTGAGCCATCTTTACCAGTCAGTGGTGTTACAGTGACTCAAAATCAAGTGGCCTGAGTAGCAGTGATTCTCAAACTTTAGTGGACACACAAATTACCTTGAGTGCTCATTGAAAGGACTGAATCCCAAGTTGCATCCTCAGTGAATATGACAATCTGTTTGTTACCCTTTATCCTCTTAAACATTCAGAAAAATTACTTTGCAAAAAAAAAAGAAAACATACTTGAAAGTGTTTAGTTTATACTTACCTGAAGTGAATCAGTTTTGAGCTTTTCTTTGTGTTCCTCAGATGAGCGCAGCACTTCTCTGTATAGTTCTGCTGCCAAGGCATACTCACCTAAAGAATTAAAATGTATTTAAAGCATAAGAAAGTCACATACATAGCTCCCAATGTCATCTGGTTGTTTATTATCTAAAAAGTCTACTGTAAAAATACAACTATATTTTGATCACAACTATATTTTTTAGGTAAAGTAGCACTCAATTATCTTCAGTGAATTCTTTTATTTAGTTAAGAGTTTTGATTAAAGCTTTTCAAATGACATGATTTCTATTAGCATTTATGCTATCATTTATAGAGAGCAATGCATTTAACAATTCTTCATTTATAGTTACCATACCTTTTAAAGGAGGTATAGAGACTACAGTATAATATAAAGCAACTGAATATCAATTATTCACTATAATACCTTTTTAATTTTTTTTTTTTAACATGCTTTCTGAGGAAGACACCAAAATATGCACATTCAGTAACTTACAAGCTTAAGCCGAATTTGGAAATACCCATTCTTAGCCACTTGATGGCACTAACATTTCCAAGCAAACAAACTATACTGGCTTTGACACTGCCAAGCTAATTTTTTTTTCTTACAAAAATCTGCAGAAAACACACTATTTTAAGTTGTAACATTACAAGGTACTTAATACCAGTTAATAAGGACCTTAGACTACATATGTATTGTATATCATATGTATTTATTTGCATAAAATATAAGTAAATATTTCTTGACCTCGACATTAATTTTAATTTATATCAAAAGTAGAATCTTCACTGTCTGGCTTTTAAATTTAAAATTTCATTTAAAAATTAATACTGTGGCCGGGCAAGGTGGCTCAAGCCTGCAATCCCAGAACTTTGGGGGACTGAGGCGAGAGGATTGCCTGAGCTCAGGATTTCGAGACCAGCCTGGGCAACGTGGTGAGACCTTACCTCCATAATAAAACAAAAAATTAGCCAGGCATGGTAGCACATGCCTGTAGTTCCGCTACTTGGAAGGCTGAGGTGGAAGGATTGCCTGAGTCCAGCAGGTCGAGGCTGCAGTGGCTGTGAGCATGCCACTGCACTCCCACCTGGGTGACAGAGACTCCAACTCAATAAAAAAGAATACTGTTTAATATATCACTATGAAGTTAAGCTATGGAAACTAAAGGCAGCAAATTCATTACAATTAAGTGAAAAGTTACAATTAAGTTCAGAATGGGCATATCCTTTATGAATGGACTTTCTGGTAGGGACTGCTCTTAACATTAGTAATAGTTTGCTTAATTCCATCCACAGCAAGACAAGGAACTACAGAGGGAATGCAGTGGAAATCATCTGAAAAGACTAGTGATGTAGCTTCTGTTAAGTGATAGCTGGGTTTTGCCACACAGGAGCTAACTGTCCACTAACACTGCTAGAGTGCGGCAGTGATGGGAAATGATCAGATGAAGAACATTTTTTCCCAGCCCTCGTATCCTATGTAACTTCACAGCAGGTGAAGGCAATACTAAATCTGAAAAGGAGACGGGAGACAAGAAAAAAAAAGCCAAGGGAGGAAATTCATTCACTGTCTAAGCTTCTGAATAACAGAATATAATGAGGAATGTAACTTCAAAATCAAGATGAAAAAGTGAAATTTTTATTATTGTGACAATCGAGTACTGTAATACTCTATATCAGAAATTTTTGACTGTCAGTTTCAACCTACTATAGACAGCACAATATTGAGGTTTATAAAGATAATTATTATTCGATTTGAAATAAAAATATACAGGGCACATTCTGTCACTTATCAGCTATAATCTTGAGAAAGCAACTAAGCTTTTCTGAGCCTCAGTTTCCTAAGTAAAATCAGGATAATACTGCAATCATCGGGCAGCTATAAGGATAATTAATTCTCTGGTATGATGTTAGACTTCAATGACCTAAAAATATTTTAAACAGTACATTCATTGTTCATATATTTTCAAAGACAAGAACACATATTTCTTTTTTTTTTAGTTGGAGTTTCTCTGTCACCCAGACTGGAGTGCAGTGGCTGTTCCCGGCTACTGCAGCCTCGAACTGCTGGGGCTCCAGCAATCCTTCCGCCTCAGCCTTCCAAGTAGCTGGAACTACAGGCATGCACTACCACGCCCGGCTAATTTTTTGATTTATTGTAGAGATGAGGTCTCGCCTGCCTAGGCAGGTCTCGAATCCGCAGAACACATATTTCTTATCTGCGATAGTCAAGTTGTCTGCAGATTTTAATCACTATTATTTCATTCAATTAATTTGGCATTGTGAGAAACTTAGATATGACACATTTTCCCCTAATTCTGCCTACATCAAGTTGATATAAAGAAAAGTTTTTTTGTTTTTTGTTTTAATTCTAATAAGGTGCTACCTTGTTTAGTCTTCCACTATAAATTATAAAGCACAGATCATTTTAGATTTTAGATCGATGCCTAGAATATCACATAGGCACAGGGCATGCTTAGCAATTCAAATGACAATGATGATGGAGATGATTACAAATTGCTAGAGAAAATGCAAACTTGCAAACACAGCTAGCTAAATAGAGAACTCTCTAGGGAATGCCCTAGAGGGAGGAAGATTTATTCACAGTTAAATATGCTATAGTTGAACAATTTATCAGAAATATATACTGGTATGCCCTTTAGTATTATTAGTTATTGATAATAAAATTTATATTGTGAGCAGGTTGAAACTAGTAAGAATCTGAGGTTACTTTCACATTACCATAATCAATAACATGATGTTTTTATAGTTTTTAATGCGCTTTCACACTTTGCAAAAAGAGCAAGTTGAAGGAGATAAAGCTCATGGTATTCTCTATGTTTATTGATAAAGACACTGAGGTTCTGAAATCTTAAATATACAACTGTGGCAAATAAAGCAAATCTTTTCAGTTCTGTCTAGAGCTATTTATACTCAGTTTCTGAGCGTCCTTCTAACTCTACCCAAGAAAGTACGACAAAAAGAGACACTTTGTAGTTCTGGTTCTCTTATGTTAAAGAGTTAATAACTAAAGACAAGCTACTCAAAGAGGCTTAGAACATCTCTTTACATTCTACAAAAAGCACAAATTTCTCTGGGAAATTGATTTCTTTATACTTCACTTGCTCTTTTTAAAAAATGTCCTAAGGTATCAAATGAAGTATCTGATTAGAAACTTTTTTCTTTCCTAATGAATGTTTAGTACTATACATTTCCTTTTAATTGGAAATTAAATGATGATCTGCTACACCCCACTTTTTTTTTTTTTTGAGTCAGGATCTTGCTCTGTCACCCAGGTTGGAGTGCAGTGACATGATCAAGACTTACCATAGCCTTGTTCTCCTGGGTTGAGGTGATCCTCCTGCCTCAGTCTCCCAAGCAGTTGGGACTAAAGGTGCGTGCCACCAAGCCAGGCTAATTTTTTGTAGGTCTCGCTATGTTGCCCTGGCTGGTCTCAAACTCCTGGGCTCAAGTAATCTTCCTACCTCTGGCTTCCAAAGTGCTGGAATTACAAGTCTGGCTTCCAACAAATGTTGATGTTTCATGTTCATTAACTTCAAAATATTTCCTAGCTTCCCTTTTGATTTATTCTTTAAATCGTGGGTTATTTAGAAATGTGTTATTTAATTTCCAAATATCTGGGGACTTTCCAATTATCTTTCTGTTACTGATATCAAATTTAATTCTACTGGGGAGATAGAACATACTTTGTAAGACCTGAATTCTTTTAAATTTACCGACTTATGATCCAGAATTTGGTAAACGTTTCATTTGCACTTGGAAAGAATGTGTATTCCTCTCTGGATGGGTAAAGTGTTGAAACTATGTTGATTAGATCAATTGGTTAACAGTGGTGCTTAAGTTGCTTATGTCCTTACTTATTTTCTGCTCACTTGTTCTATAAATAATTTAGAAGGATGTTGAAATCTCCAACTTACAATTAAGAATTTGTCCATGTCTCATTATAGTTCTATCGGTTTTTATTATTTGTTTTGAAGCTCTAGTCTTAGGTCCATAAATATTTAGGGTTTTTTTTTCTTTAGGGATGACATAACACTCTTTGTTCTGAAATCTACTTCAGAAGCTCCAGTGGTACAGTTGGTTAGTACGTAGTAGTTATACGAAATTGGGGCCGGGCGCAGTGGCTCACACCTGTAATTCTAGCACTTTGGGAGGCCAAAGCAAAGACTGTTTGAGCCCAGGAGTTCAAGATCAGTCTAGGCAAAATACAGAGAGCTAGTCTCTCAAAAAAAAAAAAAAAAACTGAGTGTGGTGGTATGCACCTCTAATAGTTCTAGCTATTCAGGAGGCTGAGGCACAAAGATCACCTGAGCCCAGGAAATTGAGGCTGTGGTGAACTGTGATCAGTGTTACTGTATTCTCTAGTATGGAAAGTGAGATCCCAAATCAAAAAGAAAAAGAAATCTATTTACCTGATAGTAATACAGTGACTTCAGTTTTCGTTTGATTAGTGTTAACAGGATATATCTTTTTTAACTTTTTACATATGTATTTTTAAATATAAAGTGGGTTTCTTATAGACAGCATATTGTTGGATACTGCTTTTTAAAATCCAGTCTGACAATCCGTGCCTTTTAATTGGGATATTTAGACTATTAATTACATTTAATATGATCACTAATATGCTTGTGTTTAAATCTACCACCTTGCTATCTGTTTTCTAACCATCTCATCTGCTCTTTGTTTCCCCTTTGATTTTTGCTGCTTGTTTTTCTTTTTGATTGAAGATATTTTATTAATCCTATCTTTGTTTTGTCAGTCTACCTTCATGTAACATTACACCACTTCATATACAATATAACAATCTTACAACATTATATATCTCCCTTCCACAGACTTTGTACCATTGTTTTTGTACACTTAACATTTACATGTTATAAAACCCACAATATATTTCTTCGTCAAGGACTCCAATACATTAGGCCATGTGAAGTTATCTATATCCTCACTGATGCTCTTTTCAAATTTTCCAGTCTTCATTCTTTGTTTTTCATGTTGGAGAGTTTCTATTGCTATTCTGTACTTCAGCTTTACTGATTTTTTTCTTCTCCAACGTCGAATCTTCTATTTACTCAGTGTATTTGCTACACTGAAATTTTGATCTCCAGAAGTCATGTTTTTAATGTTTCTATTTGACAGGTTTAATTTTTACTCTTTCTCCTACAGAATATAGGTTATATTTTCTCTAGCTTGCTTTAATTTTGTGCATAATTTATAACACTAAAGCTTTACACATATTGTGTATGTCTGTCACTCTCTATAAAAAGTTATGGTCTACAAAATCAGAGTTTTACATTATATACTGTATCATCTTGGTCATCTAAATCACTCCTGGCACACAAATATGAACTTACAAACAATATTATTTTTAAATCAATGAGGAATACTTCCTTGAATGTGTCAAATTTTAACCAATTTTTTTATTTCTGGATGTTTTTGTGTTTACAGTTTTTCAATACTAAAGACTAACAACTTACAGATGAATCTTTGTTCAGATCCTCATTTCCTTAAAAAAGAACTTTTAAAAATGGAAATGTTTGGTCAAAGCATATTTAAACTTTCAAGGTTTTTAAAATATTCTTTGTCCCTGCTCTCTATTAAGTCGAACCTAATTAAATTACAAAAAATAGTATGCAAGAGTCTTTTTTGGGGAATTTTGATTCCTGCTAACATCAACCTTCTTAGGAAGTATTTGAAAGAATCAGCGATAACAAAGCAATCACCTTCTACCTTTAATGATGTGAATGCCTGCTAAGCCATTGAGAGCACAAACTAGCTGCCGATGTGCTTCTTCACATTCAGTTCCACATTTCTTCTGCAAAGATGTCAGTAGCTCTTCCATTGTCATGGTACTAAAAGGAAAGGTAGACTAACTCAAAACCAGAAAGAAATCCTCAGTGTTATTTTAGTGAGAGTCTTACATCACACATGATCAAGAGTATGAGATTCTTCTAGAGCCTTTGAGATATCTTCAGCATTTTTTTCTTTACCTTCATTTTTACCATTATTGCTTCCAACTTAATTACTTCTATCTAACCCTATTAATCTTTAAGTTTTTCCCATTTCAGTCAAAGGGGAATGGAATTAGGAAAATCTTACTCAAATACAAAGGACAACATGATATATTTAAAATACAACTAATGTTAGAATGTAAGACCAAGTCTGAGTCCTAGCATTACAACTTAATTAAAAAACCTCTTTGAACCTGAATACTTTTTTTATTGACTAAAAAAAGAAAACCTTCCAAAGATCAGATCAAATTTCATTTCCACCAGATTCTAACCTTAACCTTTTCATATGCAAACTGCTCCATACGCTAGTTATCCAATTTGTATGTATCTCTTATAAAATTTACTGTTTGCTTTGTATTTCAGAAATCTGTAATTTTTGTCATTTCCCTTATTTACCTGTAATCTGATTAAAGAAAAGAACAAAATCTAATACCTTTCTATCACTTGGACCCCCTAAAATGGTTTCTTCCTAATACCAGCTGCTAAAAACTACATCAGTTCTGAGCCACAGTCTGATTCACAAAAAAATTTCTGGGACAATAGAGTATTATGAAACAAAATCCTTAATGTTTTCAGAAGGAATAATCAAAAAGATATCGTTCGCAAAACTAAAAATAAAATATCTAATGGCAATCTAATTCCTTGATGAAAGAACCAAGAAACACAATAAGAGCAAAAGTCCTTCCTATCTGGAATACAGCTAAAATAAAAACCCTAGGAAAAAAAAAAAAATCCTAATTTTAAAGGAAACATTCAAAACCATGAAAATAATTTTGATGATGAGATCCTCTTTCACAAATGAGGTTCCATACCAAAGGAAAACCACTACACCTTTATTTTTTTATTTTTTTTGAGTTGGAGTCTCACCCTGTCGCCCAGACTGGAGTGCAGTGGCCGCTTCCGGCCACCGCAGCCTCGACCTGCTGGGCTCCGGCGATCCTTCCGCCTCAGCCTTTTGAGTAGCCGGAATTACAGGCATGTGCTACCACGCCCGGCTGATTTTTTTTTATTGCAGAGATGAGGTCTCGCTGCCCAGGTGGGTCTCGAACCCGCGGGCTCAGGCAATCCACTCACCTCAGTCACCCAAAGGCGTGGGATTACAAGCTGAGCCACAGAGCCCGGCTTCCACTACACCTTTAAAAACAACTGACAACTCAGTTACAAGTCTTTGAATGAAATCGCAGGTCAGAAAGCTAATTGCTTAAACAGTGCTTATGATTATAATGTTATCCATTTCAGTATAAGGAAGTCAATAACAAAACCTTTTCTGGAGTGGCAAGAACTCCCCACGAACAGCCTGTGGGTGGCAGCAGGCCTGCCTGAGCCTCAGCAATGGATACAGGATAGAGGTGACAGTTCTTCTGTCCAGGCTGCTGAGCTTCAGAGCCCAGTCAGAAATCTTCCTGAGTTTTACTACCGCATCCTGACAGCACACCTCATGCTGGCGATGATAGAAATGCCTTTCCACTGGAGAAAAGTGAAGCCAGTGGATTTCTTCAGTCTGCGGTGGTATCTGGATCTGCAAAGAAGAAGGAAAAATAGATTTTACATGAAAATTAATCTTCATATCCCAATTGTTTCTTTTTTCTTATAATACCCTTAAGCCAATAAAAACCTATCATACTGACTTGGTCGATCACATCTTTCTTTGCAGATCTCCACATTATCTTGGCAATAAAACTGTAGAGATGCTGAGTATTCTTCTTGCAGTAAGGGCGATAGAGAAGTCGAACCCACCAGTGTCTGACACAGTACGGTTCAATACCAAGAAAGACCACTAACCCAAAAAGATCTGAAAAGAAAAAAAGCACATTGAAAATATTGTTTCTGTATTTTATCACAACTATTTTGAAAAATTACTTCACAAACATTAAAAACACACTGTACTGTTCATGAATTAAAATGCAGATTTTATAGGCTCTTCGATCTGAAATTAAATTCCAATTCAGTTTACATTTATTGAGTATTAATTTTGCTCTAGATTTTGTGTGAGGTGCTAACACATTAAGTTTATAGAACCATTATACAAAGTTTATACTTAATCCAAAAGTATGAAACTACTGTCAGATATAAAACCAAAAACTACTCAATCAAGTGTACTCTATAAGATATATATGAGGGGGATTCCCCCCCAATAGAATTATCTTTTGGAGAGTGGGTCCCTTGTAGTTCATTCGGGATTTGTTCCTCTGGATCAAATGGTCAACCAAAATTTTTATCTGAAAGTTTTGAGAAGGTTGTGCCACTATTTGTGAAAGAAATATCCCAAATTGTGGCAAACAGGTGACTGGTTCTTCCACCACGACAGCATACCTGTCCACACCATGCTGAGTGCTCAGCAGTTTTTTACCATAAATGGCCACGACCGCAATGTCACACACTCCCTATTCACCTGATCTCACTCTAAGTAACTTTTCTTTTGTTTTTCTGGATGAAAAAAGTCCTCAAGGGAAACATTTTGCCAATGTGGAAGAAGTGACCCAAAAATTGCAGAAGCACTAAAAGGCATCAAAATTGACTAGTTCAAAAACTGTTTTAAGCAGTGGAAAAAGTCTTGACAGGTGCACTGCATCAAATGGAGAGTACTTTGAAGGTGACTGTCGTTTAAACGTGCAAGAATGAATATACAATTTTTTATAAACAAATTCTGGGTTTTTTGGGGGGCCCCTCTGTACAAGCAATACCATGCACTGAAACTACAGATACAAGACTTGCTGGGTCAGGAAAACAAGATTTCTAGTCACACAGATGATATGGAGACTATTCTCTGATATAGTATTCCTCATACCTTTTGATCTAATAATTCCACTTCGGGAAAACAAGTCTAAGACAATAATTAAAAATATGAATAAAATTTACTCACACAATGATGTTCATAGCAATAATACAAAGAATGACTCAAACCAAGAAATAAAAAAATTACAGCATCTCCATAAAATAGAACTATTTTTCTTTTTTGATCTAGCATGCTTTGTATTTATTAGCTTTAGAGCATGGTACTTCTTATATATCTCTTTACTGGCCACACTCAATTTTATAGTCTATTTTTTCCCAGCTTAACATATCCTAAGCAGTTTTCCTTGCATTTATTTGTGATGAATTATGGAAAACTGCTTAAGATACAATGTTAAATGAAAAAAACAATATAAGATTATGCACACAGAATGAACTCAAATATATAAACAATTATATAAAAAAGACTGGATATGGTTTTGCCTCCAAATTAAGATTATGGGTGTGGAGGCTAAAGCAACTTCATCTTGGATGCTAATCAGCCATGTTGACTTTTGATTAACCCCTGTTCCAGGAAGGCCCTTAAGAGTTCCAGTTTACTGTTCCTTGAATAAGAACACATACTGTAAATACTGCTCTTAGGTCAAAACAACTTTACCTTATCATACTTCAATTATCCCACACATCTTTTCTGAATTATGTATGCCCTTTTCCTATTATACAAGTCTTAGGTCTGGGGGGAAATGGCATGGGGAACCACTCTCTTGTCGTACCTCCACCTGAGACATAGACATGACTTCTGTTCCTAAGTCTCTACTAAATGTTTCTTTCTGAGAAACTAGATATGTCAGCCTCTTTCTCCGGCCCCTCAGTTTCCAGAGGTTATGAGGGGTAGGTGTGCACAGGCATCTCTTTCATCTATAAGAAATTCTTGCCGGGTTCAGTCTGTAATCCTGCGCCTTTGGGAGGCTGAGGTGAGTGGATTGCCTGAGTCCGCAGGTTCGAGACCCGCCTGGGCAGTGAGACCTCATCTCTACAATAAATCAAAAAATCAGCAGGGCGTGGTAGCGCATGCCTGTAATTCCGGCTACTTGGAAGGCTGAGGCGGAAGGATCGCCGGAGCCCAGCAATTCGAGGCTGCGGTGGCTGGGACTGCACTCCAGTCTGGGCGACAGAGTGAGACTCCAACTCAAAAAAAAAAAACAACAGAAATTCTTCCCTCCCTTCTTTTCCTAGCTCATGCCAGTGTTTCAGATTGCAGCTTAAGGTCACTTCTGCATCCCTGTGTGATGTCACAGAACCAGTTACCCTTTTTACGAAACCTGACATAGTTAGAATTTTCCATTTTACTTACTTGTGAAAGTTATCTTGATTGTAATTTAATATATCTTCTAAAGAATTTAATAAATATATCTTCCCTTCTAAGCTGTAATCTCAATATATCAGGGACCTTATCTATTTTTGCTCATTGTTTGCTATGGTTTGAATGTGTCCTCCAAAAGTTCATGTGTTGGAAACTTAATCTCCAGTGTAACAATGTTGGAAGGTGGGACATAATAAGATGTGACTGGGTCATGAAGGTGGAGCTCTCATGAATGGATTAATGTTATTACTGCAGGAGCAGGCTAGCTACTTATAGGTTTTTTTTGTTTTTTTTTTTGAGTTGGAGTCTCACTCTGTCGCCCAACCTGGAGTGCAGTGGCTGCTCCCGGCCACCGCAGACTTGACCTGCTAGGCCCCGGGCGATCCTTCCGCCTCAGGCTTCCAAGTAGCTGGAACTACAGGCATGTACTACCAGGCCCGGCTAATTTTTTAATTTATTGTAGAGATGCAGTCTCGCCAAGTTGCCCAAGCAGGTCTCGAACTCACGGGCTCAGGCAATTCACTCACCTCAGCCTCACAAAGTGCAGGATTACAGGCTGAGCCACTGAGCCGGGCTTTGAGTTAGTTTTTATATGAGTTCAGCCCCTGGTGCTTCTCTCTATCATGTGTTCAGTTCTACCTCCCACCATGGGATGCCCCTTGCCAGACGCCAGTGCCATGCTCTTGAACTTCCCAGACTCTGGAACTGGGAGCTAAAAAAACTTCCTTTCTTTATAAATAACCAAGTCTGTGGTATTCTGTTATCGCAGTAGAAAAGAGACTAAGATACCACAATATCTCACAAACAAATAAAACAAAAACAACAATAATACATTAAATAAATGCATTAAAAAGTACTTATGTTATTAAAAGTTAACTTTCAAAAAAACTAAAATAAATAAATGGCTACAAAAATGGAAAATAAAAATAAAGCAGAAGTGGAAGTAGCTATCATTTACTGTATTTTTAATATATGCTAGGTAATATGCTAAATCCTTTGCATACTTTATTACAATTAATCTTTAAAACACTATATTTCACAAATAAGAAAAATAAAGCCATGAATGTTTAAGTAATTTGTTTATGGACATACAACTAATAAGCCAGGATGTGAACCTAGGAATGCTTTGTATGTTATACAAACAAATACATTATATAGGCATGGGGTGTGTGGGGTGAAAGGAGTGGGCAGCATTCTTGCCTATCTGACTTTCGAAGTTGATGACATTATTTCAGGCTGCCTATAGAAACATCTAAAGGCGTGGCAAATTAAGGAATGAAAATATCCTAGCCTCATTTCCTTGTTTAATATATGTCAATGTGAAATTTACAAGATCTCTGGGTTACTGCTAAATAATAAATAAGCAAATCTGATATATCTCTATCAGTTGAGCACAATGATTCTAACCTGAGGTGGAGGGGTGCAATTTGGCTTTACAGGGGACATCTGGAAATGTCTAGAGACATTTGTGGGTTATCAGAACTGCAGAAGTACTACCAACACCTGGCAAGTAAAAGCTAAATATCCTAAAACACATAGGCTAGCACCTAATAAAAAATAATTATCTGGCTCAAAATGTCAACAAGGCCAAAGTTGAGAAACTCTGGTTTAGCACAAAAAGAAAACAAATTAGACTTCCACTTCCAAATACAACATAGTAAGTCATGGGCAAGGTAACATTCTCACCGTGTTAACTAGAAGAAAACATAAATACATTGCGAGAATCATAGCATAAAAGATAGCAAAGAGTTATAGAAGTAAGGGAGAAAGGAAACAAAATTCTAGAAAGGTTGCAAAAGCAACCTTCGAAGGGTGACTCGGAGCATGAGAAAACTTTTGGAGTTATTACCTTATTGTGGAAATAGATTCATAGCTATACATGTTATGTCAAAACTTTTCATACTTCACATTTTAAATGTTTAACTTATTTGTATGTCATTTATACTACAATAAACTCAAACAGCTTAATAAAGCTGTTCTTAAAAAGTTACTAAAGAATTTGTTGAATGGTGACAAGTGTTCAAAATACCTGCCAACATCTTATATCCCTAAAAAAAACCTACCCAGGGAACTGAGAAAGTATTGTTCACATTCTTTCAACATTAAAATTAGAAAAAAGTAACTCTCATAGCCATTTACCTTTTTTCTGTACCTATCAGCTAGCTTTTGAGCTGAATAAGCTCTTGCACCTAAATATCTACAATTTTGGCCGTTTCCAAAGGTGAAAGCAGACCACCAAATTTGGTCTTTTAATGAGTCTGGTATTATTCTACAAATAAGTATTCTAATGTAACATTAAAATTATGCAAACACTTACATACTTATATTTCTAGGAAACTTGTTTCCCTCAAAATAATTACCAAAAGCATTGTTGTAATAGATGTTATTTCTGTCTTAGCAGAATAAGTTATCCTGTTGAAAAAACTTGAATTTTCAGAAAGATAATTTATTTTATCTATTTATTTATTTTATTTTAGAGATGTGGGGTACAATTCAGATGTAGGTATACAAGCAGTTATTGTACAGATAAAGTTTGGGCCTCCCTTTGGTCCTTACTTCACCTGGTTTGAGATCAGGTACCCTTATTGATGTTATGTGCCCTCCCCCAGAAAGGTAAGTTTTAAAGGTAAATATTTTCTATCGGACTTGAAGTATATTTACATTTTCTAATTTAACTACATTTTAATAACAGCTTTTCAGGAACTTTATTATATAAGGCAATATTACATTAGTTTTGGATACTTACATTTGAATAAATTTTTTAAAAATGCGGTGTCTACTCTACATAAGAAGTGACAATGAATGAGATCAATGTAGAAACATCATCATAATGTGTATGTAGAGGAGAGGAAAGGATTAGATATAATTTAAGTATCCCAGAAGTGGAATAGAAGAAGAAATAACGATAGATGCATACAGTGTGACATTATGACATTTTAATACTGTGACTATTATAACATTTACAATTAGCAAAATTACAGTCCCACTATTTATGGATCCAGACAATAAAAATCATGGTCCCTATTTTTCTAGACACAGACAACTGAAATTAATTCCCTTTTTCTCCCCAACTTTTCTCTTTTTGGTCAGGTTCTTTCTGTCTTCTGTTCACTTTGGAACTCTGATTTTAATCCAGACCTGTATCTACAATGTTTAGGCAGGTAAAACAATTGTTCGGCTTAAGACAATGGGACCTTTCACCACATATCTGTCCTCATATATAAAAACAGAAAAATCACCCAAATGCCATTTAACAAGGTAAATGATTAAAACTATGAGGAGTATAAATACATATGTCATCATTTACATAGTATTTCAACAAAGAGAAATGAAGGTTCTCAAATACATGCAATGTGTGAGGAAGCCATGACATTACCTTCCAATCCTCTCTGCACCGGAGTGCCACTGATGCACCACCGATTAATCCCACTCAAACGCTGGGCCATTTCTGCAGCCTGATGAGAGAAAAATATGAAATAAAAGACAAAAGAACAACACAGGAGTCAAGTGAACTTATGAAAACAACCTACACTTCTGGTGAGTTTCACCTGCTTTTATTGAACAGTAATCACACTCAATGCTGAATATCATATTCAATGGGCCAACTTCTAGTATAGTAATTGTCATTAGTGGGAGGCCGCCATGCATCCCCTTGAAATGGAGGAGCAGTTCAAGCATACATAGAATGAGAAAGCTCCCTGAATAACTGATACATCCCCTATACTACTCCATCCTCCAGATATGCAAATACATGATTCATAAATTCAGTTCAAGTTACATATAGCCTGGTCAAAGAAGACAGAATAAAGACATATGACAAGCAACAGCTAAATCAAATTCTGTCTTCTAAAGTAGCATTTTCTGTTACCATTTGGTCTCTCTGATGAGGAAAATTGCCGAAGTCAACTATGTCTTAAAGCTATCAGAGCTACATGATGAACTTTCCAGTTAGCAGAAATGCTTATATAAGTTCCTAAACATAGTTTACTTTGATCTGTATCATAGTTAAACTGATATCAAAATGTATATAAGCATTGCATATAAAGCAGTAATCCAGAGTATCAAATAATTCCTAAGGATTAAGTAGCTCATAGCACAACAGAAAAGCATATGCAGTGTTTAATAGTAAACTTTTGTCCAATATCAGTACTATGTGTTAACTATGCTTAAACTACTCAACTATTCAAGTTCCCCTAATTCCTTTGCCCTTTCTTCCTCAGCCCTCAAAAAATTTTGCAGAAATACTCACTTTTACTGCAGGGCATTCAACCATCTGAGCTTCATCAAGGCAGATCCTCCACCACTCCACAGCTACTAGGGGGCTGGGAATAGCCATATAGCGCTTCTGATTCCGTAGGCGACGCCCATCCTCACTATTGCTATGTGGAATATCAACATAGTTTAGTTCTGAGCGAAGGACATCATAGGTAATGATAACTATATCCTGTTCTGCCAAAAAATGAGGCTGTAAAAAGCCATCTTTCTTCACTCCTTGATAAACCTAAAAAATAATCAGAACATATTATTGTAGAAAGGCTCATCAAAAACAAATGAAATAGTTATTCATTTATATCTTGCTGAGCCCTTTCTATTTGCTTAGGACCACACATGCTATGAGACAGATCCCATACCTGTTTAGAGAAAGACAGGTTTTAGTGCAGAAGATGAATAAAAGAAACAATGTGAAAGGAAGTGTAACAGAAGTAAAAGTGATAGGATCACAGTGACAAGATCAATTCTGTGGTGGAGAGGGTGAATTCACAGAGGAGTTACAATTTGAGATATATCTTGAAGAACACACAGGAGTTCTCATAGGTGAAGAAAAGGGGAAAAAGACTGTATATAGGTAGGTAGACGGAATCAACAGCATATGTGAAAACACAAGGGTATGAAAAAATAGAACAGTAAGAGTAATCCTCACAAAATGTGTTTTATGTTTCACACACTGTGCTAAGCATTATCTCCAAACTTCAACAATTCTGCCAGCAGTTGATATTCCTATCCCACATAAAAGAAATATAAAGTCACTTGCTCAAAACTGATGGAGCTAAGACTCAAACTAAGGTTTATCTTCCCACAGAAGGCAAAAAGAATTCCTCAACAGCAAAAATGTTTTAATTATTACTGTATTCTCTAAGCCTATGAAAGTAGATTAAATATAGAAAACCTTCAGTAATATTTGCATGGAAAGAAGGAAGAACAAAGGTAGTGAAGAGTACTAATATTAGTACACAAAATGACACAACGGCCACTTACCATGTACCAGCACTATATGAAATCATCTACTCTTCACAAGTCTGGGACTGGATGTTATTTTCAGAACTTAGTATAGTTCCTGGCACAAGATTGGTGCTCAATAAATATCTGATGAATCAGTAAATTCTTATTTTCCAGGCTTGAGGTAGATTCAAGAGCTAAGAGGCAGCAGATCTGACAAGTAGCTACTATTACACAAGCTGCACTGGATTAAATTTCTCTCTGATAGCATAAATGCTTACACCAAGACTTCTTCACTTAAATGATCAATCATTTTAAAAAAAGCACTCACACCTTTACACTTAAATACTTAAACTTATGAAATTCTGATGTCATAAAAGATAAACTCTTATATTTCTTTGTCTCAGTTTCTTTTCAAACTCTGATTTCATATTACTATTATATCATTAAGCTAATTTGGGGGATAAACAACAAAGTAACAAAGATTTCAAAACTATCATGAAAAAGCAAGAATTTATATTTTCCTCTCTCTCTTTAGCCCCAAGTGGCCTTACCAACACTCGAAGAGATGATGACCTTACATGCCTATTGATCTCATCTACCCACTGGTGACAGATGGAACTTGGAGAGATGATTAGAGTTGCTCTTGTTGATACTGGTTCCATTGCAACAAGGCAATGAGGGCAGTAAAAAGGCTTAATCTTCAGATTTTCCTCTTCATAATTCACACATTTTGCATGTTGCCACAGGTGACAGTTGAGGCACTGAACACGAGGCTTACAGTCCATCTGGTCAAGTTCACCACATATGCACTCAAAACGATAATCAGAGGTGTTATAAGGACTCAGAGTGTCAGAATGTGGCACATCACTACCAGCAGGGTTTAGAGGTTCAGGATAGTCCTTTGGGTGAAGTTCTTGCTTGAATTCAGAGACACATGTACTTTCAGACACAGTAACATCAGTAATTCCACAGTCACCGGTAGCTGGACAGTGACCTTGCAAATCGGGATTGATGTTAGGTTGACTTTTTCCTTTTTTTGTGGATGGAACAGGCTTTTTCTTCAATTTACTACGATTTCTCCTAGCCTTATAATAATAATAGTAAGGATCATCATCATCAGAGGTATTTGATGGCAAGTATTCAGAATCTGTATCCTTGTTCCCTGATTTTCTAGATTCTTTCTGAATTTTCCTTGGACTCCCTACTGCCTATGAAAAAAATAATACTTAGTTTATTTCATCACAGTTACATTTCTAAAATTAAACTCCTGACTTTAAGTAAGTACTTTACATAAAAATTCAGTAGATAGCCTTTACCTTTTCCCTGAGGAGAGCCACTCCTGGTGTGGCTCCCAATCTGTCCTTTTAAGAACCCTGATGGTAGTTTACAGATCCTAAAACAAAAGGAATGCTCTACAACTGCACATGCAAGATTTGGAGAAATTAAAGATTAGAAAGTTAAAGAGAGCTAATGACATTTTGTTATTAATTTATTTTTTTGTATAGTATGCCTAAATTAAAAAGATTAGTTCCTTAAAGTACTACAAAGTAGGGCAATTACAAAAATACCAAGTACTAAAATACAGCATCCAAAGAAAGCAAAACATTCTACAGGTTACTGCAATTAGCAAATATAGTCCTTTCTTTTTTCTGTCTACTTGTGCCCTTTCTTGCAATTATTTATTAAACACCAATTCTGTACCAGTAGTTGTGTCAGATGCTAAGGACACAAATATGAACAATATTTGACCCCTGGTCTCAAAGGGGACTACTGGAAAATTAAGAAAGTAAAAAGTAAAATAATGCCATGGGAATGCCTAGCAGGGGTACATAATATAGTGGGAGTGTGATGGGTAGGTAGGTGATAGGGACAGCTTCCACCAAGTGATATCAGAGCTGAGGCTGAACACTTAACATGGAATCAATGGCTTTAACTGAAGGAAATTTTCGGGTTTTGGCAGCAGCAGAATTACTAATAGCACAGAAGTTCACTAAAGTTATCTATACTACCTGCGGTTAAGACTGGAGACTCCCTTTCTGCCTGTTGTTTTTTTCAGTGGCCAAGCTGGTAGCTCCACCTTTTGACTTATTGTCACTGTCATTAGTCTTTTCTTGACTTATGTTTGCAAATATTGTAACTATTTTCCTAAAGGCAAATTGAAATCAGTGGCCCAAGAGAAGCAGTTTTCTAACAAAAGGCAAAAATTTTTACAAGATAATAATATGGGGAAAATGAGAATTTATACAAAAGACTTTAAAAATATATTGAGTACTATGTAAACTTCAGGTATTATTAAAAAATCTGAACAAACTTTTTAACTGCTGCCAGCAGTATGATAAGAATAGAGAAAACACTTTAAACTCTATAGTATGTTTAGACTACTAATTTTATAATTCACTCAATAAATACTTATTGAGCACTTGTTATGTGCCTAGCATTACTCTCTGGGTTTAATGGTAACCAAAATAAGGTTTTTATATGCATGGAGCATATATTCACAAAGTAGAAAACATATGTCATGGCCATATGTGTTTTCCTAATTGGTTTGTTTATCTTATGACTATAACAGCTTCAGTATCAGAGTGGAATCTGTCAACTTATTCTTTAAGGTATCACATATATGTACTTAACAGTGCTTAACTTAAGCTGTGTTACCTGCTTTTTTGTTTTATCCCATATATCCTCTTCCTTGTAATTTTTTCCCAGTGTAAACGTTCCAGAAAAACCATGGCCTTTGATCTGTTTCACAAGGCCTTCGAAAATTAAACATTTCAGCATCCGTTTCAAAAGACTCCTGTTCCGTTGAACATCGTATCTATATATAGAACTGACATACTTATAGATGGAAAGGATGGAAACTCCTTTTTTCCCATTCATTTCTTTCACAGCTGTCAGGATCATCACACGTGTAGCTAAATATAAAATAAGCTAACTCAGTCAAAATAATTAAAATGAAAAGAATAAAATTTGGTTAATCTTAATCTGTACTGAGGACTGAATTATGAAAAAAAAATCAAAGATTTCTTGCAGTATAGTGCCATTTTGAAGAACATGTAATACAAATTTACCTCAACACATTAAAAAACATATGACCATAACAGAAATAACTTAAGAATTATTTATGCTAAATTGTTAATCTTAAAAAACAACAATCATTACAATTATATTTTAAAACCTCTTACAATTATCTAAGTATATGCTATCATTAGTAAGGTAAACATTCACTTACTGACAAATAAAGCCTGGTTTAAACTGTAAGCTAAAGAAATTTAAATATAACAGACTCGGTAAGAACTATTTGGACCAAGTCAAGCAAAAGAATAAATCTTTATTTTTGTTAAAATATTATGACTTGCAATTGAATCTATTTTTACAGATCATATGGAATGATAAAAACAATTACTCATAACAAAAAGATATCTCTAAGGATTGCAAGAAATATAATAAAGATCACTGTAAAAAGGTATTTTCTTTAAGAGATGTCATACTTACGGGGACATTGAACTTTTTCTTTTGGCTCAAATTCCATATTCTGGATGTCTGTCTCTTTTATTTTTTCTCCCAAAGAATGTGATGGAATAAAGTAATTTACCACTTTTCCCTGATACAAACAACATTCAGTAATCACATAGTGTTTTGTTTTCAGTATACAGAATTGCTTATTAAAATTAAGTCTCCTTCTAATAAGGAAACACATTAACAGTTGCAAAAAATTACAAAAGGCCACATATGCTATAAACATACAAGGGGGACCCCCAAAAATCAAAATTTATAAAAAATTGTGTATTTATTCCTACATGTTTAAACTTCAGTGACCAATAAAGTACTCTCTGTTTGATACACTACACCTATTGAGACACTTTTTTTTCACTACTTAAAACAGTTTTGAACTTGTAGATATTGAAGCCTTTTAGTGCTTTTGCCATTTTTGTTTCACCTCTTCTACATCAGCAAAACGTTTTCCTTTGAGGGCATTTTCATCCAGGAAAACAAAAAAAAGTTGCTCGGAGTGAGATTAGATAAACAGGGAGGATGGAACGCTGGGGTCATGCCATTTTTGGTCAAAATCTGATGAACATTCAGTGTGGTGTTGGTAGGTGCATTGTTATGGTGGAAGAACCAGTCACCTGCTTGCCACAACTCAGGACATTTCTTCTGCAAATTGTGACACAACCTTCTCAGAACTTCCAGATAAAAACTTTGGCTCAAGCCGGGCTCGGTGGCTCAGCCTGTAATCCCGCGCCTTTGGGAGGCTGAGGTGAATGGATTCCTGAGCCCGCGGGTTCGAGGCCCGCCTGGGCAGCGAGACCTCATCTCTACAATAAATCAAAAAAAAATCAGCCGGGCATGGTAGTGCATGCCTGTAATTCTGGCTACTTGGAAGGCTGAGGCGGAAGGATCACCAGAGTCCAGCAGGTCGAGGCTGCGGTGGCCGGGAGCGGCCACTGCATTCCAGTCTGGGCGACAGAGTAAGACTCCAACTCAAAAAAAAAAAAAACAAAAAAAAACTTTGACTCAGACTGTTTGATCTGAAGGAACAAATTCCGAGTGTATTACACAAGGGGTACGCCCTACAAAAGATAATTCTGGTTTTTTGGGGTTTCCCCCTCATACATATTTTATTTCTTTTTTCTTTATAAAAATGGGCTCAGCCGGGCTCGGTGGCTCAGCCTGTAATCCCGTGCCTTTGGGAGGCTGAGGTGAGTGGATTGCCTGAGCCCGCGGGTTCGAGACCCGCCTGGGCAGCGAGACCTCATCTCTACAATAAATCAAAAAATCAGCCAGGCGTGGTAGCGTGCGCTCGTAATTCCGGCTACTTGGAAGGCTGAGGTAGAAGGATCGCCGGAGCCCAGCAGGTCGAGGCTGCGGTGGCTGGGAGCGGCCACTGCACTCCAGACTGGGTGACCGAGTGAGACTCCAACTCAAAAAAAAATAAAAATAAAAAATAAAAAAAAATGGGCTCTCTGGTCGGAAGTGGTGGCACATGCCTATAATCCTAGCACTTTGGGAGGCCAATGTAGGCAGACTGCTTGAACCCAAGAGTTCGAGATCAAGCCTGTGCAACTTGCAAAACAACATCTTTATAAAAAAAAAAATTAGCCAGGTGTGGTGGTGCCCACCTGTAGTACCAGCTACTTAGGATGCTGAAATGCAGGATCACCTGGGTCTGAGCACTGGAGGTCAAGGCTGTCGTGATCATGCCACTGTACTCCAGCTTGGGAAACAGAGAGACAGAATAAGACCTAGACTCAAAAGAAAGAAAGAAAGAAACAGTCTCTCACTTTGTTGCCCAGGCTAGAAGGTAGATGGCAGAGGCACAATTACAGTGGGTTAAAGCAATCCTCCTGCCTCAGTCTCCCGAGTAGTTAGGATTACAGTGAGTACTATACCCAGTTTTTTTCTTTTTTAATTTGTAGAGACAGGATCTTGATATTATTCAGGCCGGTCTTGAACTCCCGGCTTCAAGTGATCCTCAAGCAATGGCTCCCAAAGTGCTGGAATTACAGGTGTGAGCCACTGTGCCCAGTTTCCTCATTTTTTATTTCTGAGTTTACAGCTAGCTATCATTTATAACAATCGTGTACATTATCTTAAATCACCTAAATGTTACATCTGAAACTCCTGAAGTTAACTTTTAAGTTAAGGCATATTTAAATATAAAATTAACTCATTGCCTTTATTATATGAAATAACTTGGAGTTAATATTGAATGAGTAGAAAATCCCAGAAAAAGTTACAGATAGTTAAAACTATATATTTCAAGTCATTTTTCTACCCCCCAAAAAGTATTTTTTTCTATTCCCTACTCAAATTTGGAAGATGAATTTTTGAAAACTAGCCGCTATTGAAAGAGATAACATTATTGCTAAGGCTGTGAGTCTGGTGGGTCTGAGAAGTAATTAATTACAGCTATACCATTAACCAGTAACCTCTTTTCAGCAAGATTTACTGTACTGATTTCAGATTTCATCACTGGAAAATATGAGCCATACATTATATTTGCCTCAGTAGATTTTTTTTTTAAAAACTCTAATATTTACATTTTTACACACCATTACATACTTTGGTACAAGGACTTTGAGCCTATTTCATTTAGCAACCTATTTACTAAGCTACTTAATTCTTTAAGTTCTAATTATTAGGCTCTAAGATTTCTACATCTGAGATTTGTACAATTTTTAAAAATGGCTCTTAAAAATATTTAGTGGCAATATGGAGACTAGTAGTGACAGAACATGTGAAAAGTCAAGAGTAATTTCGTAAAGGAGTTTCTCTGCCAACTAGAAGGAAGCTTGGTAAGTGACTGCATATCCCTTTCCTAGTTGACAACATAATTAATGGAAAAAAAAAACCTACTGGGTCACAAACATCCCATTCTCTGTGCCCACTTGAAGTTAACTAACCACGAATATAAATCATTAGCCACAGAGTGAACAGAAAGTGATGACTTAAGTGCCAAGTAAATGTTCAACATATGATGCTTTTTGAGAACATACGTCCCCTGCTTTACTAAGCCCTACAGTATGCCTCCTACCTCAGGAAGAGTGAGAGCATCTTGTTTGACATCTTGTCGAGTATGTGTCAGAATCAGAGCCAACACCTCCACTGTCTTTCCAAGACCCATCTCATCTGCTAAGATTCCACCAAGCAACTGTAGCCCAGAATTTGGGTACTCACGAATGATGCTAAAGGAAAAAATAAGGAAAATATATCATAGGAATGTAAGCAAAAACTATACTGTCCTTAATTGCTTTTCCTAGAGAGAATTGGAAGCAATGCATAAAGTCTAAGTTTAAAGAAACTATATTTTAAGGTAAAACAATTCAAATCCTAGATTATGAATATAGGAACTGAGATAACCACAAAACAGCCTGAGCTAAAAATGAAGTCTGCAGAAATAAGAGTGGTCATTAAAAGGAAACATGTCTGCTTTCTTCCTACAACCTTTATAAATGTATGAATTTTAAAAAAGGGGAAATAAATACTGATTCATTAATTATGTTTAATGACTCCTAAAAAAAACTGGCCTGTAATAATAACGTTTTTAACTTACAATAAAAATCCCTTCAAATATTGATAACTAAGCACCTTATATGTATTATTTTGAATTCATTTGCTGAAAAATGACAAGTACTATTAATTCTAAGTCTATCCTACCAATAAAAACGTTGAATAAGACTTTAACTTAGTACTCCTTCATGAGGTACTGTCAAGGTTAAAGACATATGCATAATAACAATTTCATACAGTTTTTCATTATATTTATTTTTTAAATTAAGGATATATAAGAAAGTTTTTCCTTACCAGCCTGTGTATGGATTATAGTAGAGTTTCAAACCCTCAGGGGTAACAATCTCTCGCCATAAGAAGTGCAAGCCACTTTCTAAAGAAAAATATAACCATAATAACAAGTTTTTGTTTGTATGTTTTCCCTTCCGTCAGACAATCACATTAAAATAAAAATAAGTGAACAGTCAGGATACCCTGGGATACTAACACCCATATTCTTGAGGTACCTCATTCAGGAAAAGCCACCATACTTAGCACATGAGTAAAAAGCTAAAGATCCCTTTTTTTTCTTTTCTTCTGATTTTTTTTTTTTTTGTGGGAATCTCACTCTTTCACCCAGGTTGGAGTGCAGTGTTGCATGCTTATGACCACTGCAGCCTTGACATGCTGAGTTCAGGTGAGCTTCAGCCTTCCAAGTAGCTGGAACTGCAGGTGTGCACCACCACACTTGGCTAACTGTTTTGCTTATTGTAGAGATGAGGTCTTGCCATGTTGCCCAGGCTGGTCTCGAATCCATGGACTCAGGCAATCCTCTTGCCTCTGCCTCCCAAAGTGCTGGGATTACAGGCGTTAGCCACCGTGTCTGGCCTGATACTAATCTTTAGCTTCCTTTGCTTCAGGCACAAATCCATGTCAGTAAATAATAAAAAAGAAAAGCAAAATACAGCAAATTATAGGGAGTAATAGGAAAACGAATACATATAACTAGCTCTTACCTGATAAAGAAAAGTAGCTTTTCTTTTATAAATCTTTCAATAAATTGCATGAAATCTTTGCATAAAACACATATGCTAATGGGTATTTACCTGAATTAGACCTGACTTCTTCTATGAGTCTGAGAGTGGGAGGAAATGGTTACTTAACTGAGAAAAAATTTTTTTTAAATGGTAACACTAAAGTACTGAGTTTGTTTCTACTGGAACCATCCACTATCTTTCCCCTTAATAGTTTAATTTGTTTAAATAAACTGTCAAAGAAGAAGCACATCTATTCACCAGGAAAACGGTAAGTAATTTTGTGTTGACTTTTTTTTTTTTTTTTTTTTGAGTTGGAGTCTCACTCTGTCACCCATACTGGAGTGCAGTGGCTGCTCCTGGCCACCGCAACCTCGACCTGCTGGGCTCTGTCGATCCTTCCGCCTCAGCCTTCCAAGTAGCTGGAACTACAGGCATGCGCTACCATGCTCGGCTAATTTTTTTGATTTATTGTAAAGATGAGGTCTCACCAAGTTGCCCAGGTGGGTCTCGAACCCGCGGGCTCAGGCAATCCACTCACCTCAGCCTCCCAAAGCGCTGGGATTACAGGTTGAGCCACCGAGCCCGGCTTGTGTTGACTTCTTTAATGATTACTAGGTGAAGTAGGAATATAGAAACATAGTATTTATAAAGTAAAAAAACTAAAAGATAAAAAGCTTCCATTTATGGGAACCATAAGGGACAGAACTGTTAAATGACACATGGGGATTTAGTCCACAGAATCTAGTCTGCAGACAAAAAAAGAATGAATTACTGATATACACATAATGAAAATATCTCAAAAATATGTTGAAAAAAGCAATCCCTGCCTCACAAAGTGTACATGTATTATGATTCCGTTTATTGTCCCATGAAAAGGTACGACTAATTCATGGTGACAGTGGATGCCTCCTGCAGGGGTTGAAGTAGAATAAATGACCCAGAATGAGGGAAATTCCTGGGGTGATGGGAATATTTTACTAGTATTGCCTGATAAAAATTTAAGTAAGCTATATATGTAATTTTAAACTTGTAGTAGTTATTATAGTTTTTAAAAAAAGGAACATGGGGAGTTAATTTTAACAGTGTATTATATTTTTCCAAATATAGCCAAAATATTATCATTTCAATATGTAATCAATGTACAAAAAAGTATTGCTATTTTACATTCTTTCTTTTTTGGGATACCATTTGAAATCTGGTATATATTTTAAATTTACAGCACATTTCATTTTGGACAGCCACATTTCAACTCTCAAGAACCATATGTGTCTGGTGGCTACTTTTGGGACAGTCTAGTTGTATGTCTTAATTGGGCTGCTAGTCACACAGATACATAAATTTGTCAAGTCTCATCAAACTGTGTCCTTAAGATCAGTGTATTCTATGGTATGTAAGTTATGCTCCAATACAATTATTTAGCTACAGAAAAAAAAATTCCTTTTTATAGAGAAAAAAATCTAGTCTGTGGGAAACTCTACTAACAATTTCTTTGATAAATAATTACAAGGAAGAAACTTGATAAGAAATAGGAGATAAAACCTATGAATTAAAATACACTGTCAAGCAATCAATTCCATCTGGTTCTAGATTTAAATTGTGTGACGGGGAGGATAGAGAGAGGAAGAAACAGAGAGAGACAGATGGGGAGGGATTAAGAAAGAGGGAGAGAGAAATAGAAAGGGAAAGGGAGGGAGATCTGGTGATAGTGAAGACTTAAAAGGTTTTAAAATCCATTATTTTACATATGTGTGTGTATATATCTATATTGAAAAGACCCTTTTTCTTTTAATGAAACAAATATTAACACATAAAATGATATACATGGAATTTACTTCAAAATAAGTTAAGAGTATGGAGGCAGGGGGAATGGAAATAACATTGACTATGAATTGATATTTATTTAATTTTTTTTCTTTAATCCTCAATCCCTTCTCACCTTCCCCAGTTGATATTTACTGTCCAACATGAAAAGTTTTAAAAAATGAAGTTTGTTAGATAAGAAAATGTAAACTGAACACATGGGAGAAATAAGAAAGAGCAAGTCACCATAAACTAAAATAAATCTGTATTTAAAAATGAGAAATATCAACACCTTATTTCACAAATTCATGTAAAAAATATCATCTTTTGCCCATCCCCTTAAAGATAGAAATAAAGAAGTGGAATAAATGCCTCTCATAAAACTACTACTTGGGTAAAAACATGGCAATAGATGACATTATTTAAATTAAAAAAATGCCAAATCTAGGAAAATTAGTCATATAGAAATCTCCCACTTTCATAAATTTGTTTTCTGTTGCTAATATTTGTCATCAAATTGTAAAAAGTTTCTTGCATGTGATTAGCAAGATTCTCATCTAATCAAGTTCTAAAAGCAATTGTTAGTTGAAAAGGCATATAAATAAATTCCTTGGTTTTTAAACACTCCAATCAAGGCAGGCTTTATTTTGGTAGGAAAAACCAGTACAGACTTTTACAGATGAGGAAACTCAGAAATAAAATTTTTCTGGATTTCAATTTTCAAGAATTTCTTTACAAATTATTTTGTTCATAGTAACATCTTGTATCCTATCTACCTTTTCAATATGCGTGGTTTAATGATCAATTTCCCCTGGCCCTAATTATTTCTCATATAATCCCTGTAATCAATTTGCCTTTCTTTAAGCATCTTATACTTGCCACCAGCAGGAGTGCTTCTGAAATGCTCTTGTTGTAGCATCCAGTTGACAGCCTCGCTTTGGTAGGGTCTCAACACAGGGGTCAATGCAGGATGCTGGACATCCACTTGGATAGACTGTGTTTCTTGCTGATGTGTTTGCTTCACAAAGTGATACAGATCATCGATGTCCTGTCCCTCTGGCTCGCTCTCTGAGTCTGCTTCATCTTCTTCCAACACATCTGTACATCAAACAACAAATGCACTCAAAATGCAATTCACCTTTTGCAACTACGAACAATTCTTATTCTAAGGCGATATGATGTACCCGCCCAACACTAGAGTGTTACTTAGTGTATTTTATAACTGGAAGGCCCTATCCTTAATTCTTCACTGATCAAAAATATACCCATCCATTCTTCATGATAGTTCAACTGCTTATTTTTCCATGGCATTGTCTTTTGTTTTTCCTGGTTGGAACTCCTTCGTGTTTGAGCAATACCTTTATACTTTGAATATATAGTACACTGTCATTTATCTGGTACTGTAATCATTTGTATGTATTTGTCCCTTTCCCAGTGAGACAAAGGTGAAGTCTTTTGTTTTTGTAGCCCCTTAGAGAAGCTGACACATGGCTTGCCCATTGAGGATATTTAATAAACATATGAGGAATTAAATGTGAATATCATTTGTGGTTTATAAGGGAATAACTTATTTTACTTCTACATTTCAACATAAAAAATCCACAAGCAGACACAATTTTTTTATGTCTAATTAAGACAAGGATTTTCATTTTATTTCTTATACTAAAAAAGGATAGGAATTTGGTAGCAGCATCAGCAAGTTATAAGACAAGTAATTAAGCTATTAATGCAAATTTGTAAAAAAAATCAGATCCAGAAGACTCCTGCTTACGATAATATAAAAAAAAAAACCTTAAACAAATGAACAAACTCCTTTCAGATATAATGATTCCTTATTAAAAACATAATTCTTTCAAAATGAGAAAGTATAACATTTATTTCTGAATTACTTTCAAAGAGGCCTATACACTTCTATAGGACATACTTCATACATTCTAGAACTAAAAGGTCACAGTAAAATATACACAACTTACTTTTTTTCAGTAAAAAATAAGCCATGTAAAATTTTCAAAACATCACGATTAATGCATAGTTATATGTCTGGCTATTTCAGACTGGTACTACAGTAATATAATCTAAGATTAATAACTAAATTTGAAGTTTGCCTTAAAAATGTTTTAAGAAGTACAAATTATAAGATTTTTAAAGGGAAGAATTATGAAATTCTATCAGTTTTTAAAACTCTAAATGTATTTAATGGCAATCCTACTCCTAAAACCAGAGATTTTCCTTCTTCAAAGTGTCTAACTTACAAAATGATTTACTATTATTGATCATATGAAGCATTGCAAAGAATACACTATATTATGGAAATAACAACCAAGGTTAGAAAGCGATTTCACAAACATGCCAGCATGAAAATGTTCGATAATTTGCAACTGAAATATTGACCCACCATGAGCAGAATTTGGAAAATTTGAGCTATTTTCCTAGTGTTTTATTATCTATCTATCTATATTCATTTATTCATTCATTCATTTGCTTATTTATTTATTTAGAGTTGGGAGTCTCATTCCATAGCTCAGGTTGGAGCCATTTTCCCAGTGTTTTATTATTTATTTTTTGAGTTGGAGTCTCACTCTGTCACCCAGGCTGGAGTATAATGGCACGCTCATGGGCATCCCAGCATCCACCTGCTAGGCTCAGGTGATCCTTTCACCTCAGCCGTTCAAGTAGCCAGAACTACAGGTGCACACTAGCACGCCTGGCTAATTTTTTGATTTATTATAAAGATGAGGTCTCGCCAAGTTGCCCAGGCTGTTCTCGAACCTGTGGGCTCAGGCAATCCCCTCACCTCAGCATCCCAAAGTGCTAGGATTACAGGCTTCAGTCACTGCGCCTGGCCATTATTTATTTTTTAAATGTATTTTATTTTTGAGTCAGCGTCTCACTGTTGCTTAGGTTGGAGTGCAGTGGCATGATAATAGCTTCCACAGCCACGTTCTGCTGGGCCAAGGTGATACTTCCATCTCAGCATCCCAAGTAGCTGGGACTATTGGCTCATGCCACCACACCTGGCTAATATTTTTGTTTATTATAGCAATGAGGTCTCACCATGCTGCCCAGGCTGGTCTTGAACTTCTAGGTCCAGACAATTCTCTCACCTTGGCCTGCCTACGTGTTGGGTTTACAGGTGTGAGCCACTTGTGCCTATCTCATTTTCCCAGTACTGATGAGCTATGCCAAGTCATGCACACTCTTCCTTGGAAGCCAGTGGCAGATAGCCCTAAAACTGTAGTCCTAAATAAAATCTTAGTAAGAAACAGAGTAAAGTTATCTGGCTTTTATGGGAACAAGAATCTTGAAATTATTTGTTACAACTGCAAAGGAGAGGTAGGATAAACACCAGCCAAGAATATCTGGCCATGACAAAATAAAAGCCCAGGAATGATATGCAAAAATTCCAACCAGTTCAGATTCCTTTAGGTTCTGCCTTTTGGATTGCATATTGACTCTGCAAACATTTTTTTAAATACTTACTATAAGCTAAGCACAGTGTGAAACAAATAAACAAATTATTATAAGTGGGAGCACTTCAGATAAGTATAATTTACAAATGGTGATTTTAAAGAGGTCATTTCATTTTTATTACTTTTTAATAGTTGTTTTTCTGGTTGTTAAGTCTAGGAGTTAGAGAAAAAAGTCCATAACTCCTAAGTAATAATAATTTTAAAGTTTATTTTAAAATTACCTGGAACAACAATATTATATAACTTTTCCATCACTTTCTTCATGAGCTGATTGAATTTTTTCATTCTTGAATTTGCATCACTCAAAAAGTCTAGTTTTGCTAGGCCAGCTTCCAAAAGATAAATTCCAACCTACAAAGAAAAAATCAACGTGAAAATAGTTTTAATTGACATTTACCATTCCTTATGAGTATACAGGGAAAATAAACAGCATCACTGTTCTCAAAGGTAGTCACAGTATTTGCCCCACAAACACCAAATATGTACTTGCCAAATCTTCCCCACACATTTTCACTATCAATAACAAATTCATTGTACAAACTAAACCTAAATGCCTACTACGTGCAACGAACAATTCAAGTTGCTGGGGGAAAAAATTTCCCAACTGAAATAAAGTCTGAGAGAAAATGTGACAAGAACATCTAGTTCTACCTAGCATATCAATAATTCCCAAATCAGATGAGTATCAGAATAATCAGTAAAGTCTGTAAAAATGAAGATTCTTTTTGAAGATTATGACACAAATGCTAGGATTCCTATACACAGTAAGGTTTCAGCATCCTTATTAGTGAATCAGGCACTAATGTAAAAGAAAACAGATATTGGTTAATGTTAAATATTTGACTCTAGTGAAGCAATGGGGAGGAAGTTTTACAGCTGAAATACTTGAATTTGAATACTGGAATTGATATTTAGGAACTAAATAAATTGTAGGAAAAAACTCAAATTTTTTTGAACCAAATGTTCTCATTTATAAAATGGAGAGAAGCCAAGTCTAAACAATATAATTTTAAAAGTTTCTAATGGTAGACGCCCCATAAACTTTAGTTCCTCTCATTTCACGTGATTATGCTGGACCTGAGTCTCTAATCATGGAAATTCTCACATGCTTTAACTAAAGAACAAGAATCATAACATCACCATTACAGAGGGATGAATGAAAAGATTGTATTTCATTATTATTCGTACTCTGCCTTGAGCTTGCCTGGAGACAGCTTACTATAGTGGCAGTAATTAAATATTTATAAAAATCAAGATCAGAGGAAATAGAATAGATTAAAACTTGATTTGTAAGGGAGGCAAATAGAATACAGATATACCAGTCTTATATACTTGAATTCTTATATACTTGTTATCACAATTTTGGCACTCACAATCAGTAAAAACCAGGAATGCTTGGTTACACCGTTTCAGTGCCCAGGGAAAAATTAGTTGTAATCTAATACTTCTAAACTTTCTCCTTTCTTTCAGTTAATTCTGAAAATATAACTAGGGTTAATACAAGAAATATATTAGAGATTGCTTTCAGTTAAATGACAAGAAATTAACATTTAAAATTTCCTTTCATGTTTTAGCATGAAGACATATTAACCTGCTTCATAGTTTACAGAGTACAGTTACAGTATCTCATCTGATTATTAACAAGGTAAGAAGAACAGGTATTATTTACATTTACATTTCATAAAGAAGCTGAAATTAGAACACTTAAATGATTCACATAGTTATTTGGCAGAGCCTGAGATGAATTAGGAATTTATTCATTCGTTTACTGAGAATCTGTTAGGTACCAGGTATCTTAATAGGATGTAAGGATAAAAGGCTTCATTATCAGCAAGGAGGAAAGATGTAAAATGTAAGTATACTAAAAGTGGCCAAGGCAAAAATAAAAATACGCATTAGGTACTCTAGGGCAAGAGCACTTAACATGCAGGAAAACCCATGGATTTAAGAAAAGATCTCCTAGAGTCGGGTTCGGTGGCTCAGCCTGTAATCCCACGCCTTTGGGAGGCTGAGGTGAGTGGATTGCCTGAGCCTGTGGGTTCGAGACCCGCCTGGGCAGAGAGACCTCATCTCTACAATAAATCAAAAAATTAGCCAGGCGTGGTAGCGCATGCCTGTAATTCTGGCTACTAGGAAGGCTGAGGTGGAAGGATCGCCAGAGCCCAGCAGGCCAAGGCTGCGGTGTCCAAGAGTGGCCACTGCACTCCAGTCTGGGCGACAGAGTGACTCCAACTCAAAAAATAAATAAATAAAATAAATAAGAAAAGATCTCCTTGAATGAATTAAACTCTAAGATGAATATTAAAGAAGAATCAGGAGTTACCAGGGAAGGGGAAGGAAACAACCCAAAGGGAACTATGAGAGCTACAGCAAGAATGCAGAAAGATAGCAGGCCAAGTGTAGGAAACAAATCAATGTAGAGTTTCTCGGAAAAAATAAAAAGCAGAATGATGAAGGACAAGGGTCAATGGTCCATCAAAGAAAGAACTTACATGTCGAATTAGAAAAATTATACTTAATTCCATAGGCAGTAAATAATATTATTTCATTTCCATTCACATCATACCATTCCAGAGACACAGTAGATAAAGGATTTGAAATGGCAAGACAGGAAGGAGAGATATGGTTAAATGACTGCTGTAGTATAAGAAAAAGGTAATGAGGACCAAAACAAGTCATTGAGTGGAGATGAAAAGGAGGAATCAAGAAGGTCTCCTTTAAAAAGTACGGGATGAAAATAATTAGCTACAACATACATTTTTTTAAACAGTTATTGAAAGTCCCAAATAAAGTGTACTTTGAAACTTCATAATGAGAAGCTCATTGTTGGCTTTTCAGACCTCCCTCTGAAATTAACTTAAAAGTGAACTGTCAATATAACATTAAAAGACACCACAGAAGTACCTTGATAATGTGATTTCCTTGTGGTCTTTGGTAAAGTTTTATTCTTTTCTTCTTTTGCAGCCATCCCAAATGTTCTAACATTTCACCACTGAAAGATGATTCTACTAGAATACCCTTGTCACATATACTGATTGTTTCTTTTTCTTGTTTCTCTATATCTTCACATTCTGAATGAACAAAGATCAAGAACTGATTGCTTGACTCTGAACTCATCAATGTAAAACTCCTTTCAGAAAAATTTGCAATTAAACTCTGTTCAGAAAGAAGCCAAAGAGTTAATTCCCCTAGAAATGCTTTCCAAGAATTATCGAGGTGATGAGGAGAAATCACAATGTTCAACTTTACAGACAAAGGGGAAGAAATACCAACAGTCTCTTCTTTTTCGATTGATTTTTCAGAACACCTCTTCTTATCTCTGTGAGCCACTTCTTCCTTTAGATCATCATCTAGAATGATGCAGTGAGCAGAAGAGGCATCTGAACCTGGGCAGGGGTGCTCGTCATCAGTTAAGGTGAGAAGTTTGTTCTTTCTGTCCTCAAGCATATTCCAATGAAGTTGCTGCTGCTTTTCCTCATCTACCCTCACTGGAGGAGCACGTTTCCGTCGGCTGCTCATTTTCAAGTTTTCTTGATTGGTATGTGTGAACTCTAGAAGACAAATGTAACAGTAGGCATACCAAGAGAGGATTTCAGTATTTGAGTGTTATCAGATGAGAAATTTAGCATAAATTCATAGCCCACACACATACCATGAAATCTTCAGAGAGAAACATAAAAAGCAATAGGTAATTTTTTTTCAGTAAGTCAAATAAAAACTAAGAAACACATTAATGATAATGTCATGTATTAAATAAATTATAGTGGTTTCACTTGTCTTTAATGGATAAATTTAGTAAAGATAACATATACAAAATAAATTATAAAAATACATTTAATAATCTCTCAAATAGCCTGGATATGTTTATTTGAAGTGTTCTAGTAACATTTAAACTCGTATCATCAATATAGAATTTTTTTTTATAATCCCAAAGGGCTAATACAACTTCACTTGACCCTTATATAACTTAAAAATGCCTAAAATATATTACCTTCTTCTTCAGAAAGGAAAAATGAAAATACAGAAATGTATTTCTCTTCATAGATGAGCAGAGAAAAAGGATAACAGGGATAGCTGGGCCAGGAATAAAGTGGTGATGGCAATGAGGGGAAATGGGGCACAGATTGAACAAAAGAAGAAAGAGAAAAAAATGCAGGGGGAAAAAAAGAAATCCTGGTCACTTCAAAGAGGAAACTGGACTGAAAGTAGCCTACGTGAATTAGGCACCAAACTATACTTTCACCAAAATAGCCAAGTCCTGTAGGAAATATAGAATAACTCACAGAGATTAAATAATGAAGTCATAATGATGGCTGGTGTTTATTCCAGCCTACTAGCTGAAAAAAAAAGTTGGTACATAAACCATTAAGATTTGGCTCCAAGTTTAGTTTAAAAATATTCTCAGTAATTCCATATTTGAATAAAATCCAATCATGTACTTGCTGAGACCCCACCAGGTACTCAGCACTGTGTGCTTGGTATATTTTAGGGGAGGATACAAAAGAAGTATAAACCAAATTGATGGACTCTAATTCAGCACAGATAATATCTGTAAATTATGCTTTGATTTCTTAATGACAAACTGAGTACACAAAACAGTCTACATCCCTCTACCTTTACTAATTCCTTATTCCTAACTCCTCTGCTCCAAATCTAGGAAAGAATGTGTTTTAAAAATAATTCAGCAGTACACAGCCTTGTTTAAAACAAGACAAAACCCCTAAACTAATTTGTTCTGAACCCATCCTAACAAACCTTAAAAACAAGCACGGGAGGAATCACATTAATCCCAAGTAATTTAACTGCCCCTTACTAAAAAAGCTAAACAATACTTAAAAGAATAAAACAAAAGTCTGGCATCAAATAAAAAATTACGAGGCATGCAAAAAAAAATGATGATCATGATGATAATAATACCCAAGACAAGAAGAAGAAAAAAAAAAAGATCCAGAAATGACACAAGCGATAGAATTAGCAGACACATTCAAACGGCTTTTGTAAATATTTTCAATATAGTCAAGAAGAGGAAAACATGAAAATGAAGATAAATGGAAGATACACAAGAGACAAATGGAATTTATGCAGATAGAAAAACAATATCTGCAATGAAAAATACATTGTATAAGATTAATAGCAAATTAAACATGACCAAAAAAAGGGAACAGAACGAGCTTAAAATTTACCAATATAAATTATCAAAAATGAAGTAACGAGATAAAGACTGGAAAAACAATGAACAATGTCAAAGAGTCGAACATATATGGAATTTAAACTCAGCAAAAAAGGGGGGTACAAGAAATATTTTTAAAATCATGATTAAAATGTGATAAAATCTATCAGCCCTGAGGAAGCTCAATAAAACCCAATCAGGGCAAACACAAGGACAATTACAACAAGGTACACCATAATTAAACTGCTGAAAAGCAAGGACTTCTCTACAGATTTGTCCTTTCTGGTTTTAACACTTCTCTCAACCTAGAATTTTAAACCCAGCAAAATATCTTTAAAAAATGAAGGTGGAAAAAAGAAAGATAAAAGTGAAGAGGACTTAGTACTACACTATAAGAAATGCGACAAGAAGTGCTCAGGCAGAAGAAATATGGTAACAGAAATCTCCGTTTACCCAAGGGAATAAAAAGCATAAATGAAAAATATGTGTGCAAATATAATAGACTTACTTCTTGATTTTAAGTGTCCTTAAAAGATAATTGACTTTTTAAATTAAAAATAAATTTATTCTGAAAATTTTCAAACATACATAAAAATATAGAAGATAGCACAGTAGTATAATAAACCTATATACTATGTACTATGGTCATGAATTAGAAGACTCGAAATGTTGAGATATCAACTCCCTGATATTTAGCTTCAGAATTAAAGTATTCTCATTCAAGATTCCAGCAGGTTTCTTTGTAGAAGCTAAATAGCTAGAAATAAAAATTTAAAAAAAAAGAAAGAGGAAAAGAAATTGACTAGCTGATTCTAAAACTTATACGGAATGCCCAGGATACAGAAGAGTTTAAAATGATTTTAGAAAAGATGAATATGGTTGAATGACTTACACTGATCCAAGATGTATGTCAAAAGTAATCAAAACAGTGTGATAATGACGTAAAGACAGACATATAGATCAATGAAACAAAATAAAGTGCCTTTTGTAGTAAACTCACACATGTATGGTCAATTGATTTTTGAAAATTCAAAGGCTGCCCATGGGATAGTATTATTTTCATAAATGGATATCAACATGGAAAAAAAGGAACCTTGAGCTCGATCTCATAACAAATATAAGCATGAACTCATAATAAAATATAGAAGCTTAAACCATAAAACTTCTAGAAGAAAATCAAAATGATGCTGAATTAGGAAAAAAAAACCAGAATACAAAAAATAGAGACAATGTAAGAAAATGCTAAATTAAGCTTCATCAAAATTAAACACTTTGGATGCTCTTTAAAAGACACTGTTATAGAAATAAAAAGATGGGAGACAATATTAGCAAAGTAAATATCTGATGAAGGATTTGCTTGCACAATACATAAAGAACTCTTGCAAGTCAATAATAAGATAATCTTATTTTTTTAAAAGGGCAAAAATTCTGAACATATATCGATAAGTGTACAATAAGCATCTGAATATATCTTACCATCATCAGTCATTAAAGCATGCAAACTCAACCCCCAAATCACGAGATGTCAAGAAGGGTTAAAAATGCAAAAGACTGAGGGTGCAGCACAACCAGAACTGAACTCTCAAACATTCAAACATAGCATAGTCACTTTGAAAAAGTTTATCCATTGCTAATAAAATTAAATACACACTGCTATGCAGCCTAGTAATCTCACTACTACCACGAGAAATAAAAGCATAAATCCACAAAGACTTCAGCTGCAATGGTAATAGTAGCTTTATTGATAAAAGCCAAAAATGGCCAAAAAAAGGTCCATCAATGGGTTAATGGATATACACATTGTGGCATATTTATAAAATGAATACCATCCTGTGATAGAAACAAACTGTTATATATGTAGCATATAGCATGCATAAAATTTTAAAACATTATGCTAAGTGAAGGAAGCTAGATATGAAAGACTAGCATATTGTATGATTCCACTTACATGAAATCCTAGAAAAGCAACAATCTAATGACAAAGCAGATTAGTGGGCAGCAGGGACCAGGAAGTGGGAAGAGGTAACTGACAGCAAAGGAAGAAGAAAGCTTTGGGGTAACAGAAATGTTCTACACATGACTGAAAACTATACATTTGCAAAAATGTATCAAATTGTACACTTAGAATTGTTGAATTTTATCATATGTAAATTATACCTTAATAAAGCTGATTTAAAAAGCAAAAACAAAAAGTAGATGCAGGAGGGATTTAGAAATTTTAAGAGAATATTAAGATCAGCTTTATTCTAATGAATGTGAAAAATCTGCATAAAAGGCCATGCAGGGTGACTCATGCCTGTAATTCCAGAACTTTGGGAGGCCCCGGTGGGAGGACTGCTTGAGGCCAGGATTATGAAAACAGCATGAGTAATAATATAGTGAGACTTCATCTCCACAAAAGTAAAAATAAAAATAAATTAGCCAGGTTTAATGGGTGCGCCTGTAGTCCTAGCTACTTAGGAAGCTGAGGAGGAAGTTTCCTTGAGCCCAGGAGTTCAGGGAAGCAGTAAGCTGTGGTCACACCACTGCACTCTGGTCTGAGGCAGAGCGGTACTCTATCTCAAAAATATAAAATAAAATAAATAAAATCTAGATAAAATGAGTAATTTCCTAACAAAACATAAGCAAAATTGGCCCAACAAACAGCAAATCTGAATAGATCAATAATCACAAAAGAAACAGAAGAAATATTATGTACCTACCTAAGATCTATCTCCCCTCCTTGCTGACAGAACCTTTATTTAGGAACATGGTGACCCTATGATTCAACAATAATAATTAAGTTGGAAAAAAATAAATACCAGAATTTCTAGTAAGGTTCTCCCTTTGTCCAGTTCTTAAATGAGCAAACATTCATGATTAAAAAACAAAACTAACTTGATTTTGCTTGTATCCATCCAGAGATAACTTCTTGAACCAAAGAAAATATTATTTAGTCAAAGATATTTACGACTAAAGTGCTATTTTCAAGTACGGGTGAAATTCCATATCTAACCATATTCTATATTCTTCTAGTTTTCCTCATATCTTATCAGTCAAACCTTTGAGGGATCTAACTCTTCTTACTCCTCCTTAAAAAGCAGTGTTTGGGCAAATTGTGCTTATGTGAAGTTTTTATATGGATCGCACTTTTACTGTCTTGCATTTAAATGCAAAAAAGTCTTTTGCTTGAATTGTTCTTTCAATTTTATGCCTGGGGCTATCCCAATCTTCCCTGGAAAGCCTCCTCTCCTCCTGGATCCTAACTGCAATGCAACAGTGTTCACTCTGAACTACTTGAAAGTTGGGCAGGAGTAGGAGTAGCAGCCTATTCAGTGTTGAACTCCCAAGGCCATATCAGTGCCAGGATGAAAATGATACACAAAAAACTGTGAGACACAGATCTCTAACTCCCCATCCTCCCTCTTTTAAGAACCTGTGTTAAGCCGGGCTCGGTGGTTCAGCCTGTAATCCCGCGCCTTTGGGAGGCTGAGGTGAGTGGATTGCCTGAGCCCGCGGGTTCGAGACCCGCCTGGGCAGCGAGACCTCATCTCTACAATAAAAAAAAAAAAAAAATCAGCCGGGCGTGGTAGCGCATGCCTGTAATTCGGCTACTCGGAAGGCTGAGGAGGATCGCTAGAGCCCAGCAGGCGAGGCTGTGGTGGCCGGGAGCGGCCACTGCACTCCAGTCCAGTCTGGGCGACAGAGTGAGACTCCGACTCAAAAAAAAAAAAAAAAAGAACCTGTGTTAGCTGGGCTCGGTGGCTCAGCCTGTAATCCCGCGCCTTTGGGAGGCTGAGGTGAGTGGATTGCCTGAGCCCGCGGGTTCGAGACCTGCCTGGGCAGGTGAGACCTCATCTCTACAATAAATCAAAAAATTAGCCGGGTGTGGTAGCATGCACCTGTAATTCCGGAAGGCTGAGGCGGAAGGATCGCCGGAGCCTAGCAGGTCGAGGCTGCGGTGGCCGGGAGCGGCCACTGCACTCCAGTCTGGGCAACAGAGTGAGACTCCAACTCAAAAATTTTTGTGTCTCTCTTACCCATACTCCAGAAAACTACAGGTAATATGAAACTATTCTTTAGTATTTCTGACCCAAAATGAGGCAGAGAAAATTGGCTGAATTGTATCTTTAGCAGAAAACAAAGATGGAATGCTAGAAAAGTAAATATAAAATGTTAAATTACAAAGACAATACAACAAATGAATAACAATTAAACTTAAACTCAGATTCTTACCTCCAAATGATTATCTCTTCGTTAAAAGATACACACAAATCCTGAATTACAACAAATCTATGGTAGTTCAGGTTATCAAGGGCAACAAGGAGTACACGCTTGCCATACTGCTATCCAAGATGTGGCCTTATGCAAACGAAGTAAAATCATTCCTGAGTATTGGAAAGCTCTTAAAGACCTAGCATTATCACTATCTTTTTCTTTTCTGGGGGGTAACTCCAGTAAGGTGAGATTATTTTCTTCTACTGAAACATATGTTAGTTACACACTGGAAAACTGCCCTTGTAAGCTTTTTTACTAGTAGATTGTTTCCCCAAACTTTTCTAGTCTAAACTCATAATAAAGGATCTGTTTTAATAATTCTTTAAGTCCAGTTCTTCTAGATCAGGCAAAAGAGTATATATAAGAGCATCTTTCAAAAGTAAACTATTTTATTCTCAACTGCCGGTTTCTTGGTTCACTAGTCCTTTCAGTACAGGCAGTATGGATCATTTCTATTCAAGAGTTTCATCATTCCTGCTGTTGCCCATCGGAATAATTTAAAGTAGCAGTAACTACTACAACATTTTAAAATTCTGTTCAGTTAAACGACAGAATCAAGTTGATTTCAGTACAAGTAGGAAAAACATCAAACATCTAGGATCTCTACCTCGTGCTTATTGTTAAACCAATTAGAAAAAAGGCACAAGCGCACTGGTAGTTATTTATTAACACTGTATTTAATATACAGTGACCATCACTACTCAAATAACTCTACATCTTCGTTCATAAACCTAGCAACTACTAGTCAGAATACATAATGCTCAAGGGTAGTTCTAAACTCAAATGCAATCAACCTGACTACAAAGGTAACAGAGAACTTCCAGGCAGAATTAGCAGCCTCTGTCCCCGGGTTTACCAACACGATGCCGCGCACAAAGAAGCTGGGAGGCTGCCAACTCCAGCCTCCGGGGACATATCAGCAGCGAATGGCGATACCCACTCGGTTATCTTCCGAGAGACCTCTTAGCGGTTTCAGGAGTCAGACCAGGGCCGACAGCGCCCGATCGCTCCAAGCAGGCCGAGTCAACAAGTTACAGGCTCGGAGGCTGAGGAGCGCGACGCTGGACCCTAGGATGCTTGAGTGTGGACTCGAAAAGCACACCGCAGGCCCCAATCCCCGGGGAGATGCACAGCCTCCTTTCCCGTGGCCCCCAGGAGAGCCGTGGCGGTCCCGAGGATCGCTCGCCTGGGATCAGGAAGGGGTAGGGAAGACTCGCGCTGCCGGTCCCTCTCGGCTTCTGAGCTTCCCAGGATCCTGGGACAACCCGAGTCCTCCTTCCGTGGCCATGGAGGCCCGAGACGCCTTCCCTCCTGACCTCTGACCCCGGACCATCCATCACCAAAGCGCTTACCGATGCGCTCCAAGCCTCTGGAGTCTTTCTGCACCAGGCCCGGACCCTTCTAAAGCCCCTGCAGACCCGGGGCACGCATTCGCTACCCACCAAATATGCGCGTGAGGTGGGCACGCGCGTTTTAAGCTGTGTCGTGGGGGGACTCCCGAGGGAGGCCCAGAAACCACGGAACCCAGCTGCCGGGTGAGCGCCGGAGCGTGGGGTCAAAGTGAACGCGCACGTTGAAGCGCTCCGCCCCCTTTCTCCTGCTAGGGCTTCAGGATTCTCTTCTGCGCATGTCCCCACAGGTAGAAACCACCCATAGATACAGTTGGAGTATCGCGATAGCTCTTCCCCGCGACTTAGGGAATACGAGAATGGCTGGAAGCCCGAAGAAGGCGGGGCTGTCGCCCGAGGGGCGAGGCTCCCGCTAAAGGAAGGGTGTATGTGGTTAGTTGTCTGAAGCGTCTGTTTTATTACTTCTAGAAAGCGGACTCTCATTAGGTACGAATGACGCTTATCTCCTTTAAAAATTTTTTTGTTAAGACTCTCCAGGGAAACGTGTCTTTAGATGAGAGAGAAACTGCATGTATTGTACTGAAGCTATCTTGGTCTTTTTTCCTCTCAGCTGTTTCTCACAGAAATGAACTTTCACTTAGTAACTTTGAAATAATTCTGGGAGGCTGCAAGGCAAGGAGGCTGTAAAATAACCCCCAGGAAACTGTGGACACCAAATGGTAAATTAATAAATACATAATAAGAACTCAGCATTTATGCTATGGCGGGGCCTCCAGGTAGGTGATCCCAGAAACACTGAAACAAGTTCTTCCCCAGAGAACATTCGTTGTCATTGTCATTATAGTTTAGAGTAGTTCATGGTATTTTACTTGTCATGGACTTTTATCAGAGATCTCTGAAATAGCCCCGTGAAGCTATGTACATAAAATAGTCCCTGGCAAATTAATGACATATCTCCTTTTATTGCCCTCTGCAGATTTTGCTTTTTTTTGGTTTAATGAATTGAAAATTTTGGCAGTTCTGTCTTAAGCATGTGTATCAGCATCATTTTCCAACAGCATGTGTACTTTATGTCCCTGTGTGTCACATTTTGGTAATTCTGGCAATATTTTGAGCTTTTGTATTATTATATCTGTTATGGTGATCTGTGATCAGTGATCTTTGATGTTACTATTGTAATTGTTTTGAGACACCACCAACTTTGCCCATACAAAATGACTAATTTAACAAATAAATGTGTGTGTTCTGACTGCTCTCCCAACTGACTGTTCTCTTGTGTCTTTTCCTTTCCTGGGGCCCTCCTATTCCCTGAGACACAATGATACTGAAATTGGGCCACTTAATAACAGTGGTCTCTAAATGTTCAAGTGGAAGAAAAAGTCACACATCTCTCACTTAAAATCATAAGCTAGAAATGATTAGGCTTCACAAGAAAGGGATGGTCTAAAGCTGAGAAAGGCGGAAAGCTCAGCTTCTTATGCCTATTAGCCAAGTAGTGAATGCAAAGGACAAATTCTTGAAAGGAGCTTAAAAGTGCTACTCCAATGAAATGATAAGGCAGTGAAACAGCCTTGTTGCTGTTATGGAGAAAGTTTGAGTGGTCTGGATTAAAGATTAAATTAGTCACGACATTCCCTTAAACCAAAGCCTACCCTCTTCAATTCCTTGAAGGCTAAGAGAAGTGAGGACACTGAAGTAGGAAAGTTGGAATCTAGTAGAGGTTGGTTCATGAGGTTTAAGGAAAGAAGTCATCTTTGTAACATAAAAGTGCAAGGTGAAACAGCAAGTGCTGATGTAGAAACTGCAGTAAGCTACCAGAAGATTCAGTTAAGATCGTTGATGAAGATGGCTACATTAAACAACAGATTTCCAATGTAGACAAAAGAACCTTCTATTGGAAGAAGATGACATCTAGGACTTTTACAGCTAGAGAGGAGAAATCAATGCTTGGTTCCAAAGCTTCAAAGGACAGGATAACTCTCTTTTTAGGGGGCTAATGCAGCTGATGACTTTAGGTTGAAACCAGTGTTTATTTACCATTCTGAAAATACCAGGGCCCTTAAAAATTATGCTAAATCTATTCTTTCTGTGCTCTATAAGTAGAACAACCAAACCTAGATGAAAGCACGTCTATTACAACATGGTTTACTGAATGTTTAAAGCCCACTGCTGAGACCTACTGCTCAGGAAAAAAAATATCTTTCAAAATATTATTGCTTATTGATAATGAATCATCACCCAGGAGCGCTGATGGATATGTACAAGATTTATATTGTTTTCATGCCTGTTGGCACAAAATTCATTTGGTAACCCATGGAACAATGAGTAATTTTGACTTTGAAATTTTATTACTTAAGAAATTCATTTCTTTTCTTTTTTTTGAGTTGGAGTCTCACTCTGTCGCCCAGACTGGAGTGCAGTGGCCGCTCCTGGCCACCACAGCCTCGACCTGCTGGGCTCTGGTGATCCTTCCACTTCAGCCTTCCAAGTAGCCGGAATTACAGGCATGCGCCACCATGCCCGGCTGATTTTTTGATTTATTGTAGAGATGAGGTCTCGCTGCCCAGGCGGGTCTCGAACCCACGGGCTCAGCAATCCACTCACCTCAGCCTCCCAAAGGCGCGGGATTACAGGTTGAACCACAGAGCCTGGTCAGAAATTCATTTCTTAAGCTATAGCTGTTAGAAATAGTGATTCCTCTGATTGACCTGGATAAAGTAAATTAAAAATATTTTTGGAAAGGGTTAATCAGTCTAGATACTATTAAGAACATTTGTGATTTAAGGAATAAGTCAAAATATTAACATTGACAAGAGTGTGTAAGTTGATTTCATCCTTCATGAATAACTTTGAGAGTTTCAAGATTTCAGTGGAAGAAGTAACTGCAAATTGTCTGGAAAGAGCAAGAGAACTAGAATTAAAAGTGGGACCTGAAGATATGATTGAATTAATGCAATCTCATAAAACTTGAATGGATGAGGAGTTGCTTCTTATGGATGAGCAAATAAAGTGGTTTCTTGAGATGCAGTCTGTTCCTGGGGAAGATGCTCTGAACATTGTCAAAATGACAATAAAAGATTTAGAGTAATACAAAAACTTAGTTGATAAAGCAATGTCAAGATTTGGGAGAATTGACTCCAATTTTGAAAGAAGCTTTACTGTAGGTAAAATGCTATCAAACAACATTACATGCTATGGAGACATCTTTCATAAAAGGAAGTCTTCATTGTCTTGTTTTTAAAAATTGCTATAACCCCACCAATCTTCAGCAACCACCACCCTTATCAGTCAGCAGTGATTCATAAAGAAAATAAAATAAGACTCATCAAAAATTCAGATGACTGTTGGCAGTTTTTTTTGCAATGAAGTACTTTTTAAAGTTAAGGTATGTACATTTTTTTAGACATAAAGCTATTGAACACAATACACTGCCTTAGAGTGTCAGTACAACTTTTATATGCACTAGGTAAACCCCAAAATAATAATGTGACTCCCCTTTATTGAGATAGTCACTTCTTGTGGTAGATTGGATTGGAACTTGCAGTGTCTCCAAAGTATGCCTTCAAATGGAAATCAGCTACCTTTTTTCAGGTTTCATGAAGCAAGCTGAAAAAATTAGTTCTAATGCTGGAAAAACGGGTAAGCAGAGTTCTTCTTCCTTGGCAAACAGATCATTTAACCAAATACAAGACAATGTAACCTTTTTTCTGGAAATGTAACTTGAAACTAAGTACTTAAACATATGTTGTACTGTAAAAGATTATCTTTGATGGTATTGTGTTACTTCTCACCAATGGAGCAGATAATTGAGCTCAAAGTTTGGTGGAGTCCTACTGGTGTCAGAAATATTTAAAAATAAGCACAGCATCATTCATTTTTGATCAACGTGATTGGGGTAATTTATAGGCATATTTATGGTAATGACCATGAAGAGTACTAAACTTTATGTCCAGTTGTCAATTGTGTGGAGATGCGATTTAAACGGTAGAGATGGAATTCTATACTGTTCAATGGTTACATTGAAACATAATTATTTCTTTTGAATTTTCCAATGGGTTTTCAATCCTGTGTGGACCAAATTTTCTGTATATCCTTTGAAAAATTTCTCAATGAAATAATGCTTTTCAGTATTAGAATCACCAGAGCTGATTTCAAAAAACGTGGTTCACTATTGCACTTTGGCTCTCTGGCAGCTTCTAGCTGTGAGACACCTGTTCATTCCTGAGAGCACTGAGTTTATCCACCTATTAGACACTTGTGATCTAATGGCATTCCACAAATCAGAATCAACTGATTGGACATAAGCACATTTTACCAGTGAACCTCTCAGTATTCATGCAGTTCAACTGCTTCTACTTGAAACTATAAATGTGAGGGGAGTCAGACCACTTGCTTCCTTGTATGATCTCACTAGCCTTAACTATAGAATCATTTCCTTTGGGGGTAGTTTTATTCTAACCATACCCCTAACTCAAACCATCTGTTATACAAATGAATATTATAAGTTGATCTCAAGGAGGGGTACTGATTGAGAGGAAGAAGAAAAGTTAGTGAAAATTTAACTTTCTTTGGGGGACAGAAACTGGATAACTGATGATTTATCAGTGAAGA